TGAGCAGCCTGAAAACTGGAGGAAGTGCTTAAGCTACCGCTTAGCTAGCCCACAGCCCACGTCGAAGTACCTGGGTTCAAGTCCCAGCTCTGGCTCCTGACTCCAGCTTCCTGCTAATGCAGACCCTGAGCAATAACTGATGGCTCGAGTAACAGGGTTCCTCCCGCTACCCACACGAGAGAACCAGGTTGAGCTCCCAGCCCCGGGCTTCAGTCGTGGCCATTGTGGGTATCGGGGGAGTGAACCTGCAGATAAGAGCATCTTCTTTCTCTGTCTCTGCCTCTCAGCTGAGGGCTCAGTCTCCCACTGTCGCCTCACTGCCCACCGTTCCTTGTACACTTCTCTGTGTGAAGCCTGGCCTCTCCCGTCGGCTGTCTTTTAACAGCATTACTGCTTACTTAGCAGTGTGACCTTGGGCAAATCACGGCCCTGTGCTGCCTCAGTTTCCCCATTTGTGAAAGGGAGCATTCTCCTGTGTGACTCATGCCGGTGCTGCTAAGCAGAAACATACATGTAATTTTAAATCTTCCAGCTGTTCCATGTTCAAAGCAGTGAAAAGACAAACAGGTGAGATTTCCACTGCTTCACTCAGCATATCTGAAGTAGTAGCATGTAAACACCACAGAAGTCAATGAGATCATTTTTTTAAAGATTTATTTATTTATTTGAGAGGCAGAGTTACAGACAGAGAGACAGAGAGAGGTCTTCCATCCACAGATTCACTCAAATGGCTGCAACAGCCAACGCTGGGTCAATCTGAAGCTAGGAGCTTCTTCTGGCTCTCCCACGTGGGTGCAGGAGCCCAAGCACTTGGGCCATCTTCCACTGATTTCCCAGGCCATTAGCAGGAAGCTGGATCTGTAGTGGAGCATCCTGGACTCGAACCAGTGCCCATATGGGATGCCAGTACCACAGGCAGAGACTTAATCTACTATGCCACAGCATCGGCCCTTCAGTGAGATCATTTACATGTTTTTCTTATCACAGTTCTGAAATCCAGAATGCACTTCATAGTGACAGCTCAGCTCTGTTTGGACCGGCCGTGTGCCAGGTGCCCAACGGCCACACGTGTGAGGGGCTGCGTATTCAACTGTGCATGTCTCCCCCGGGCTCCAGGGCTCCAGGACTCCATGATCCCATGGAAGAGCCGGGCAGTAACAGCTTCCGGCAGGAACTTTATGTACATTTATTCATCCGATGCTTTCCTGGGGACAGGAGAGGGGTGTAAGCGTGTTGGGGACAGGACTAGAACCCAGGCGTCCTGGGCAGCCGCTGTGTGGCAGGCGTCATACCTCTGTGAACTTGTTTTGTCCTAAACCGCACCCTGGTCTCAGAGACCTGAATAACGCGCTGAATTACACAGAAGCAGAAGCCAAGCCAAACACCCAAGCCTTTCCTGCCTCCCTGCTGCTCTCCGGAGCTAGCCCTGAGCCTGGGGCTGTGCTGTGCTGTGTGGGGCTCAGGCCAGGAAAAGCAGCCAGCTGAGGCAGGGGTGACCCTGGGTGACCCTGCATCCCGTGTTGGAAGATCTGGGTTTCATATGCAGCTCCAGCTCCAGCTCCTCACTCCAGTTTCCTGCCAGTGAAGACTCTGGGAGGCAGTGGTCATAGCTCAGTAACTGAGTTCCTGCCACCCACATGGGAGACCTAGATGGAGTTCCTGGCCCCCAGCTTTGGCCTGGCCCAGCCTGGACCATTATGGGCATTTGGGAGTGAAGCAGCAGATGGAAGTGATCTCTCATGTGTGTGCACTTCCTCCCCCCAGCCCCTCTCTCTCTCCCCCTCCCCCACAAATAAATCAAAAAATAATTTAAAACTCAGCCGGTAGGTGGAAGGGTGTGGCTGTTATGCAGGATTGAGGGGTCAGGGATCTCTGGCTGCCCATATCTGTTCTGATTGGCAAGACAGGCACACAGGTTGTGCACTGCTCAAAAGCACACAGCCTAAGGGACGAGTGGCTCCTGGCACTGGGCTGCATCCCACCAGGGGGGCCCTGTGCAATTCCCACGCAGGCTTCAAGACCCTGGGCCCGTCAGCTGGGTGTGGCCCCTCGGGCCCTCCTGCCAAAGACAGGCTCTTCCTGTCCCTGCCTTCATCAGGCTCCGCCTTGCTGAGGCTTGGCCCTCCCCCCACCACACACACCCCCCTCTTGCAGAATGCTCCCCCAGTTCCTGAGGACTAGGACTCCTCCCCAGGGAGGCCTCAGGCCTGAGCCCCTGGGGACGCCGGCCCCAGTGCTCTGGTCTCTCCTTGTGGGGAGAGCAGCCGCCGCCCACTGCCTCTGCCCCACAGCCAACATTTCCATCTTCCGGGGGGAAAATGGAGGCCTCCGCAGTGCCGGGCCCGACTTGTTGATGTAAAAGCTCACTCTGTATTCCACCCAGGTTTATCCGAGTGAATTATGCAAATCTTTGATGGAAAAATATTCCTCAGCACATCCTTGAGAGTGTAAAACCTTAGTCAATAATTCATACTCGGATGTCTCTGACTGCAGGCTTTTTCTTCATTATAACTTGCACCTCGTTATTTGTCTTTCGCATTTTATTGTATATCCTGGTGTAATGCCATGCATTATAAAATTTATCTGCTCCATTATTTGATGAGCTGGGGCTGGGGAGCCTGCTAGGGTTGCCGGTGCAGGGGCCTGGGACCAGGGCTGGCCTCGGCACCAGCGCCTGCAGGAGCAGGCGGCAGACGAGGCGGCTGGAGGTGGCTGGCTCTGCGGTGTGTCTTCGGGGAGCCAGAGACCTCCCTTCAACCGCTCGCCCCCAATGCCTGTTCCTAACGCCCCCTTAGCCACTCACTGGTGTCTCAGGTGGCTCCATTACAGCTCCCTGGTTTCCTTCCTTGCTCTGAAGGTTTGATTTGTCCAGAAAAATCAGCTGTCCCTGGGAAGTTTGCTGTGAGCAGATCTTTCAAATGGAGCAAGAGCGAGATTCTGAGGACACGGGCCAGGGACAAGGAGGAGGGTCAGCTGACGAACTGGAGCAGAAAAGGGTGCTGGGGATGGGACGGGTGGGGACCTGGGTTTTGGGGAGAGGACAGAACCCCTTCCTGCAGCGTTGCCCAAGCCGGCCAGGGATGGGGCCAGGGTGAGTTGGGCTCTGCCCTCAGAACCCAGTGCAGGCCCTACCCGATTTGCATACTCAGGGACGGCTGGGACAGGAGCCACAGAGCGCTAAGTTTTCCCGGAAAAGTGGAGAGGGAAAGACAGGGACTGAGAGGGCTCCCCACATTCACCTTTCCGGGGCCTGCACTGCAGCTGGCTTTCCCACGAGGTTCCACTGCCACGGTGCCCTCGCTCCCTCACCCAGGCTGAAGCCCTCCAGGTCAGCGCCATGCGGTTCTCCCAGCACAGTGCTCTGGTCTTGTTGTCCCTGCTCCCCACTGGAGTGAAAGTCCTCGAGGTCAAAGCCACCTCGGTCCTACCCACCGTCAGCAGCAGAACCCAGCGCAAAGCCTGCCCCCCACCCCCCACCCCACCCCCCCGCCAGCTCCATGAGCACTCGCTGGAGCCCTGGGCTGCGCTTTGCCAGCTACCGCTCAGCTGGAGGTCCTTTCTCCTAAGCCCCTGGGGGGCCTGCCTTCCCTTCCCTCCAGGAGACAAGGACCCTGTCTCAGCGCCAGGTGTATCCCGCAAGCCCAGCCTCACGATGGCCCCAGCCTGCTGCCTCCTGATTCTTAAGTGCCCCAGGTCTCTGTCACGCGGGATGCAGGAGGAAAGGGACGGAGTTTCACAGCTGGCCCCGGCCATCTTCCCCGCTGCCCCTCGCATTCTCTAGCGTCAGGCCCGGTGACTGACAGGCTTCTTCCGGGCACGGGCGGTCTCTCCTGATGATGGGTCCATGGGGATTTTTCTCAGGCTCACGGCAGGATGGGGGCTGCTGGGAGGTTTTACTTGGGGTGGAGCCATCCAGGGTTTCCACCGTGTTTGGTCTGAAGGTTCAGGAGGCAATAAACCAGCTGCAGCTGTGAACGCACCACAGGAGCCCAGGCTTTGGAGCAGGGCTCGTCACCAGGGTGCAGGGACCCCAGGAGGCCCGTGGATCTGACTCAGGGAGAGGGGGAGTCCATGAATTTGGATGGGGATAAAAGCTCACCGTTCTCTCACTGACATGTAACTGAAATTTAGTATTCCCTTCCATTTGGAACACAAGCAACAAACACAGCCGTGCTGTTCCTGCGACCGTCACCCGTAGAAATCCACGGGTACTTTCACATCACGTCGCATTTGCTGTCGACATCTCAAAATGTCATTCATGCGCATCACTATCACAAGATCACAGTAAGGCAGACGGTAATTAAAAGCCCCACCGCCAGATCTGACTCTGTACAGAGTGATGAAGCAGGGGCTGGGGTTGTGGCGCAATGGATCAAGCGGCCTCCTGCAAGCCTGGCAAACCATGTGGGCACTGGTTCGAGTCCTGGCTCCTCCACTTCTGATCTGGATCCCTGTTAATGTGCCCAGGAAGGCAACAGATGATGGCCCAAGTACTTGTGCCCCTACCACCCACGTAGGAGACCAAGGCTCTGTGCTCCTGGCTTCAGCAAGGCCCAGTCCTGGGTGTTGCACCCATTTGGGGAGTGGGCCAATGGCTAAAAGATTTGAGTGTGTGTGTGTGTGTGTGTGTGTGCGCTGCCTTTCAAATAAAAATAAATCTTTTTTAAAAAGAGGACTAAAGAGGAACATGTATCGATACATGATAGGACACCTGGAAAGCGTGCTCTTGACTGTTTAATGTTTGCATCGCCATGTAGGTATTGAACATAGCTGGTCTCATGTACAATTCTCTGTGTGTTTACATGTATAAGGATGTTCAGAAACGGGGCCGACATGGCCAGGACATCACGGATGGGGAGAGAGAGAGAGGAGACAGACCATGGGGGCTCTGGACACTTTGCTCCCACCCTCAATAGAGTGTCTCTAGGGACCAGGGGTGGGTTTCTGGCCACACCCATGGCCTCCCATGCTCACTGCCTGCTGCACCTCCTCTTCCCCAGTCCCGGCCATGATCACCTCCCACCCCAACACCACCATTGCCATCAAGGGCCAGGCGAAGGAGCTGAACTGCACGGCGCGGGGTGAGCGGCCCATCATCATCCGCTGGGAGAAGGGGGACACGGTCATTGACCCTGACCGCGTCCTGCGCTACACCATCGCCACCAGGGACAACGGCGACGAGGTGGTGTCCACGCTGAAGGTGAGCGCCCACTCCCGTCCGGGGACCCCGACCCATCATCAGGGAGGGTGGGGAGCCCACCACTGGGACAAGGAGGACGTGGGGAGCCTGGGAGCCCCTCCCTGCACTCCCTTTTCTGCCTACATCCGTTCTGCATTCAGGACTCCCAGCCTCACTGTGACAGCCCCGCAGCCATCACACCTGTGGGGTACCATGACCCCTGCTTCCTTTCTGGAAGCTCTGGGCCCCTCCGTCCCTCCTGGATGCCTCTCTCCTTCCATCCTGGGGATGCTCTGGGAAGAAAAGCCCTGGACAGAGCCCCTCGGGGTCCCCCTCCCCCAATGCGCCGGCTTGAGGATGCCCCGCGAGTGGCCCCCTCTGCTGACCAGCTCTAAAAGCCTCTCCCCATCTCCCCCTCTCCACCCCTGCTGGCCTCTCCCAGCTCAAGCCAGCTGACCGTGGGGACTCTGTGTTCTTCAGCTGCCACGCCATCAACTCGTACGGGGAGGACCGGGGCTTGATCCAGCTCACTGTGCAAGGTACTCGCCCCACCTCCCCCCGCTTTCCTGGGGCCAGCGGCCTGAAGCTACCTCCCCCTCCACGAGTAGGGGCCTCACTCCCACCCCTGTGTGGATGGCAGCAGAAGGCCTCCCTCTGGGTGCTGAGCAGGGACGCTGGCCCTTCCCAGGCACCCTTCACACAGCAGTGTTCTGCCATGACTATGTCCCTACAGAGTCCATTGCTGCCTGATCTAGAATGGGAAGGGGAGGGGGAGGGGAGAGGCTCTGCATGGGGAAACACAGGCCACGAACTTGGAGGAATCCCTGTGCGGAGAGCTGCCCTCTTCCAGACCACGCGAGAGAAGGCAGCAAGCCAGGAATCTAGGGTTCCAGGGTTCTGGGTTAGACCACGGGTGACAGCAAGCTCCCTGCTGCCAGTCTCACTTCTACCCCTCTCCGGCCAAACCCCAGAGCCCCCTGACCCCCCTGAACTGGAGATCCGGGAGGTGAAGGCCCGGAGCATGAACCTGCGCTGGACCCAGCGGTTCGACGGGAACAGCATCATCACGGGCTTCGACATTGAGTACAAGAACAAATCAGGTGGGTGCCAGGGCGGGAGGGTGAGGGCATGGCCACCAAGAGCCTCACCCCATGTCCCCTGCCCGTGCCCTTCTGATGGGACAGTCCCTGGAGCAGCACCCCTCTAAGGCAGACACCAGCACCTCTGGTTTCCAAAGGGAGGGGCCTATCAGGTTAGGGTTCCATGGTACAGCCCGAGGGACCCCCACTGATGGGGAGGGGTGTCAGCCCCTCCTGTCCAGCATTGTCCCTGGGATGACGTCCTCAAGGGTGGTCTAACTCCAAGCTATTTAAAGGCACTGCGTCCAGGGTCTGGCTGCTTCTGGGGACAGAGCAGGTGAACTGGTTTGGGAAGGTGAGGGCGACTGGGGCTCTGTGAGGTGGGGAGTCCTGGAAGATCATGGCTCTCAGCTTCCTTTTCCTAGGACTCTTCCCAGAGCCCTGCTCTCAGGTCCTAGCTGCACATGAGAAGCTGCCCACCGCTGTGGGGCACCCAGCGTCTAGGGGACCCATGGTGGGTCCCACGATCAGGTGGTGGGGATGGCAAGGAGGGGGCCTCAGAGAGGACAGGGAGAATCTACTTAGTCAAGATCCTGTTGTGCCTTTGGGGTTCAATGTGGAATCAGTGGACTTGTCGTTACTACAATATAATGCCTATGACAGGCTACTTATGAAGGAAAGAGAGGTTTGTTTTAGCTCATGGTTCTGGAAGTTCAAGTCCAAGATGGGGCTCCATTGATTTGGCCACTGTGTCAGCAGTGGATAGCGATGGTGTCCACGTGGCCAGCCAGGCCATAGAGCAGCTGGGCCCCGCTGAGGCTGTGTCTCCAAGCCTCATGAGAGAACAACTTTCTCAGAGCACAGCAGTGGCCTAAGGAGCTCCCAGACACCATAACTGGACTGTTTCCACCTCATAGTACAGTTTACCTGTGACTTAGGGGATTGGGGGATTTCAAAACATTTTTTGAAAGATGCAAAGACAGAAGTCTTCCATCTGCTGGGTCATTCACCAGATGCCCACAGCTGCCAGGGCTGGACCAGCCCAAGGCCTGGAGCCAGGAGCTCAGTCCAGGCCTCCCAAGTACTCAAGCCATCACCTGCTGCCTCCCAGGGTCTGCATTAGCAGGAAGCTGGAATCAGGAGCCAGGGCTGGGACTCTGGCTGTGGGGCATGGGTGTCTCACCTGGTGTCGTGAGCGCCCCTGCTTCAGTCATCTTTGCTACAGCGGCCTACAAAGAGGAGCTTTGCGCGCAGGAGCTTACAGTCTGTTGGCAGTCGGCCCGAGCGCAAGGAGAGGTCGTCAGCGCAGGCACGGCTCTGGTCCCGCGCGGCACAAGCTGGGTCTTGAAGACTGAAAGGCACCAGGCCAAGAGCCCAGGGCAAGGAAAGAGCAGAGGCTGAGCAGGGACACAGGACACTCCCAGGAGAGACCCCTGGTCGTGCACAGGGGTCGCACATGTGATTCACGGGCGAGGTGAGGAGGGAGGCCTCGGGGCTGAGCGACCACTGCGCTGGGGGAGGCCATGAAGAGCCACTGGCAGTGCCTGAGCTCCTGAGTCAGGGCTAGGCGACACAGCGCCATCACAGAAGAATGGACATGAGCAGGAGGGGCTGGTGCCCTGGACACGAGCGAGGAGGCTGCTGCAGTGGGGAGAGGAGAGGAGTCGCAGGGCACAGAGAGGGGACCATGGCTGGGTGTGACCGTCTCCCATCTTAGGGCTCCCGGGGCTGGGCGCAGGCTGCCTGGAGCAGTCAGCAAGGGCTGGCCGAGGCCACCGTCCGCACAGCAATGCCTGCTGCACTCTCTCTGGGCCCACATCTGGGGTGAGTCGTGGATTCCTAGGCCGTCCCTAGTGACCCTCTCCCTCCACGCCCCGTAACTGCCTCCTGCTACCCCATGGCCCGCTCCCTGCACTGACCACTGCCTAATGTGTGGCAGCCTTTTCTGGGGCACTGCCCTGCAGGACGGCGCTGAGAACCTCACACATCTGGAAAGCTGTGCGCAAGCAGAGGCGGGCAGGGAGAGGCTGCCCTCAGAGCCTGTCCACGTCCTGTCCCTGCAGAAGGAGGACCTGCCATGTTGCCTCAGAGCCAGGAAAGCCAGGATGGGTGGCAGCGTGGAGGGAGCAGCGATGGAAACTCCACCGCAGACTCCCCTCCACAAGGGCTTTGCAGGATCCAGAGCGCCTCTGTCACCTCCTGCATTTAGGAACAGGGGCCCCAAGAGAGCTTCAGGCACTGTCATTGGAGGCAGGTGGAGCCTGGGAGCACAGTGTAGCCGCCCCGCCTGGGAGGTGGGAGCGGCAGTGCGTGCCTCTCGGGGTTGCTCTCAGAATTAGAGAGAGAACATCCAGCACGGGGCTGCGGATCAAGTCCCTGGCCCCATTCTAACTCGAACAGCTCACGTGGCCGCTCAGAGTCCCGGGAGACGCGCACAGGCTGAAATACATGTGTCTGTCAGTCAGCCCTGTGCACTGGTGCCAGTATTTCTCTCGCAGAATCGGGCCCCAGCCATGAGGTAGGGAAAGGGAAAGAAGCAGGAGATAGAATGTTGGCCCTGGAGCCCACGCTGCAGTCAGAGTGAGAAGGCACAGGCGCGCGCACGCACACACTTTCAGAGCTGCGCCAGAGCACTAGCCTGTCACCACAAGCTGCACTACGTGACAACTGGAGAGGTGTCCAAGGGAACAGAAGGCAGACTCGAAGGAAGGCGGAGGCGTGCGTGTGCGCGCACGGGTGTGGCGCGTCCAGGTCCGTCTTCCTGCACCTGTGCCCCAGTGGGGCCACAGCCACTCTCCAAGCAGGAGACTTGGGTGGACCAAGTGCCAGAGCCAGGGGACCTTTAACAAGTACTTGGCCTCTCTCTACCTATAAAATGGAGACGACGGCACTTCTGTCTCAGGGCGGTTATAAGGATTAGGATGACATGGATGGCAGGGCCTGGCACGGCGCCTGGCCCGCGGGAATCTTCCATGGGTCCCCGTCTGTGCCTCTGCTCCCCGGCCCCATCTCCCTCCAGCCCCCAGCCCCTGCCCAGCCTGGCTGCTGACCATCTGCTCCCACCTCCTTTCTTGCACACACACATACACCCCCCCGCCCCCATGCGCCTTTGCCTGCTTTCCGCCGTGTTGCTCATCCTGCTAATTTTCCAAGGGAAATTACCAAGTCTGCCCTTTCTAAGCCATCCCACTCATGCTGACTTCTCCTGGCCCCAGGCAGCAGAGTAATAATACATGAATGCTGAATGATAAATAGCACCGTCCACACAAATCTATCAGATGGTGCTGTGCAGATTTAAAAATGCAGACACCACATTTCGCCCCTCTTTGCCAAGCAGGGAGCAGGAGTGGGCTCCTTGAGGACAGTCCTCCAAGCCCAGAAGGCGGCCTCCTGGTGCGAACCCGGGGGGCAGGAGCTGGGGTGGGGGCAGGGGTGCCGCGATGGGTTTGTCGTCCCGTGAGAGGGACTGGTGTTGGGATGTCGAGAGCTGCCTGTGTGATGCAGGGATCCTCCTCTCTGGGCTGCGGCGGGTCGGCCATGAGGGGCACCGAGCCGCCATGCCAGGAGGAAATCCACACTGCAGAGCGCAGGCGGCTGCGCGCCCCAGATGTGGCTTTCCTCCAAGCTGCGCCCCTCCGCTGTGCATGCCTGTCCTGAAACCAAAGCCTCCCGGCCCCTCCCAGCAAGCAGCCCGCAGAGCGGAAGGCACCGACGTCTCCCCAGCTGCTTTCTTATTTTTTAAGAAGAATATTTTGCATCGTAAGCCCTTTGATGAAGAAAGAGAGAGAGAGCCCTTAATGAAATATGTTAATCTGGGTAAGCCAGGCTCATATGAAAGGGAATATTAAAAGAGACAATATTCGCCAAAGTCAGCCCAGGACTCTGGGAGAGCAGGAAGGAAAGGGAAGAAAACGGGAGCCGCTGATTTCAGCTGTGTTCAGGGTCAGGGAGATGGCAGTGATCGAGTGGGAAAAATCAACCAGAGACCTCCAGGCTCCACTCTGATGCATTAGCCTGGAAGGGTTGCGAGCAGAGAGCTGTTTTGTGCCAACATCAAAGATGATTTGGGAACACAAGGTCAAATCCACCTGCAAACGACTGACAAAAGCAGAAAAGGAGGGGCTGCTCTCTGGGCCCCTCCCCCCACCCCCCACCTTCTTGTGATTGGCAGCTGAGTGAGGCAAGGAAGGCAGAGGCAAAGGGTATTGATTGTGACTCCAAAATGCAGAGGAACTCCAAGTCCGAACCGACGGACATGGAGTGGCTCTGATTTCAAACCGAGGACAGCCTGTGAGTGCCCCACACATGCGCAGTGGAGGAGCAGCTCCTGCCTTCAGGGGACTCAGCGTCTCCTGAGGCAGTGAGGACTGCACAGGAGGTATGGACAGGAGCTCCAAAAGCTGCAGAAGTTCAGAGGAGAAGAGTGGCCTCAGACAGGGCTTGAAAGGTGAGCGTGAGCCAGATGTTGCAGGGCCTGGGTCGTGTTAAGAAATTTTTGCCTTGGGGCCGGCACTGTGGTGCAGGGAGTTAAGCCACTGTCTGCAGTGCCAGACTCCCACATGGGTGCCAGTTCAAGTCCCGGCTGCTCCAGGTCTGCTCCTTGTTAATTAATTAGCTCCCTGCTAATGGCTCAAGTGCTTGGGCCCCTCCCTACCACCCACATGGGTGTTCCCAGTGAAGCTTCTGACTCCTGGCTTCAGCCTGGCCCAGCCCTGGCCATTGTGGCCATTTAGGGAGTGAACCAATGGATGGAAGATTCTCTCTCTCTCCCTCTCTCCCTCTCTCCCTCTCTCCCTCTCTCCCTCTCTCCAACTCTGCCTTTCAAATAAATCTTTTAAAAAGATTTTTTTTTTTAAATTTGCCTTTATGCTAAGAGCAAGGAAGAACTACCAAAGAACTTTTGTGCAAGGGGCTGGGGGAGACTACTCCCAGCACCTAGCTGGAGTGCTTGGCCTGTGAGAGGGAGGGGCTCAGCCCTATCTGTAGAATGCGTGATGTTTGGGCAGGCGCTTGGGCACAGGTTAAGACACCACTTGGAATGCCTGTGTGCCGTATCAGCGCCCAGCTCCGCTCCTGACTCCAGTTCCTGCCACTGCGGACTCTGGAGGTAGCAATGATTGTTCGAGTAGCTGGGCTCCTGTCACCCACGTGGGAGAGCAGAATTGAGTTCCCAGTGCCCAGCTTCCACCTGGCCCAGCCCTAGCTGTTGCTGACATTTCAGGAGTGACCCAGCAGGTGGGAACTCTCCTCTCTCTCCGGCTCAAAATAATATTAATAAATAAATAAGAAAGAAAGAATGATGGCTGCTCTGCAAAGAAGGAGGGGAGCGAGGAGCATGGACAAGGCGCTTACTGGGAGGCGGGTGAGGGAGTCGTTTCTCTGGTCCAGGTGAGAGGTGGCAGTGGCTTGGCCTCAGACAGGGATGGAGGTGGAGAGATGGGAGGATGCTCAGGAGCTGCCTGGGGTGCAAAAGACCCGAGGGAGGGCTGGAGATGGGAGAATCCGGAATAGCATCTGAGCCCCTGGCACACAGGAGGGCGCCGTTATGAGACAGAACCAGGAAGGAGGTAGGTTGGCAGCTGTAGGGCGGAGAGTCCTGCCTTAGACAGGATGAGTTTGAGGTGCCTTTGAAACAGGAGAGAGACACCAAAAAAAAAAGTAATGTGAAGCCGGCGCCGTGGCTCAATAGGCTAATCCTCCACCTTGCGGCGCCGGCACACCGGGTTCTAGTCCCGGTTGGGGCGCCGGATTCTGTCCCGGTTGCCCCTCTTCCAGGCCAGCTCTCTGCTATGGCCAGGGAGTGCAGTGGAGGATGGCCCAGGTGCTTGGGCCCTGCACCCCATGGGAGACCAGGAAAAGCACCTGGATCCTGGCTCCTGCCATCGGATCAGCGCGGTGCGCCGGCTGCAGCGGCGGCCATTGGAGGGTGATCCAACGGCAAAGGAAGACCTTCTCTATCTGTCTCTCTCTCTCACCTGTCCACTCTGCCTGTCAGTAAGAAAACAAAGAATAAAAAAAAGTAATGTGTAAGGGTCTAGAGTTCAAGGAGAGGCCCAGGCTGGGTGCTGATCTGAGAGCTGTTTGTGCACAGAAGGAAATATAGGGATGTTCCAGAAGTTCATGGAAAATGCATGTAATAGGAAATACACATCGAATTAAAAAAAAAAAGTGAACCAAAATAATGTCCTTCAATCCCACTTTTCCATGAACTTTTTAAAGGACCCGTGGTAGACAGCATGGGCGGGAAAGGTGCATGGAGGGAGAGAATGAGAGGCTGGGATGGTCCTAGAGGAACCCCAGCCATTAGTGACAGGGCACAGCGGCATGCACCTGCCACGACACAGGAAAACTGGCCCAAGTGATGAGGGGAAAGCTGGGGTGGTGGGGGCAGTGTACACAGTTGAAGGAAGCAGTCCCAGTCTGGAACATACCTGGGAGGCCAAGTGAGAAATTGGAGGTCCCCAAGCCATGGGGACACAGCCCTGCTGTCACAAGAGGAAGTGGCAGATGTTCAAAGTGTCCAGCACTATGCTGGACACATCAAGGTGCCTGATGCATGTCCAGGTCTCCTCGTCTCCTCTCCCCAGCCCTTCTGTGTCCACGCACACCCCTGAGCTCCTCCCTCCGCCTGCACTCATCAAAAATGAATGCACTGACTTGTGATCCCTCTCCCGCTCGTATAAACACAGACAACTGAAATGTGATTTGTGTGCTGGCACTGGCTCCCAGGATGCCGCAGAGAGAAGCGAGCACCTGCTTCCACGTTGCAAGCCTGTTCTATCCTGAACCAAAGAGGTGCTCACAGCAGGCAGGAGCCTGCGCATTCACAATTCTGGCTTCACCTGCAGCCATGGGGTGATTTTCCTTGTGGTTGAGGTGTTTTCAAAGACAAGGGGAAAATAATGTGTGTATGTGTGTGAGAGAGAGAGCATCAAAAGCCTGCCATTTTGTTCCTTTGGCTCAGGAAACCAAAGAATTAAATGCAAAACTGCAGATGGAGAGTTGGGCCAGTGCCCTTCGCAGATGCTGAGCCTGCTCAGCTCAGAGCCGGATTCTGGAAAAGCATTAAGACCTCAACTAACCAGAATCTGGGGGCACGGGATTCTCCTGATTTATCAGGCATTAGCTTCAAAAAACGGACTTTAAAAATCTATCTAGAATGTGCAAGTATTCTTTTCTGAGTTAAGAATTAAACTGTAGTGAGTATAATTTAATCTTTCCTATTGAGAAGTAGTCAGGATACTCTACTTTGGATTAAAAAGCAGAGAAAATTAGAACGAATAGTAGCATCCAGATATGCCCTGGGAACATTTTTAAGCCCTGCTATCAGCTTGTTTCCTTAAGATTTGCCTTTTTTAGTTTTCAAAGTGCCAAGGGGGGGGGGGAGAAAACCTCATCCAGTTAAGGATTCTGGGTTTGAGAAGTAGACGTTTAGCCTGGGGGATAAGACACCCACGGCCCTCATCAGAGCGTCCAGGTTCCGTTCCCAGCTCTACCTCCTGACCCGTCTCCTGCTAATGCAGACCCTTGGAGGCAGTAATGGTGTCTCAAGTAATTGGATTCCTGATAACCATGGGGGAGACCTGGATTGAGTTCTCTGCTCTGGGCTTCAACCCCTGTCCAGGAGACTGAGCCAGCAGTTGGAATGCTCTCTTATGCATTTTCTCTCTCTCTCTCTCTCTCTCTCTCTCTCTGACCTCTCCACCCCTCAAATAAGTAAACATTCTGGGTTTGGAGGGTCCTAGCTGAGGTATTACTGTAACTGCACCCCTTCCTGTTTGTTCCTGGGACCCTCTGGTAGAAGCACAACGAACATGCATTGAATGAAGGGCTGAATTCCTCTGGGGATGTAGTGGGTCTTCTGTCACAGCATCTCCCAGTGGCATTTGTCTGGTATTTTCAAAATTCTGCTGTTCTGCTACACATTGGCCCTGGAGTGAACAGTCAGTTCCCCAGACAAATCAGGACTAGGTCCATCCCTCTGTTGGCCTCCAATCCCAAAGACTCAGAGACCTTTGCTTGTCCTGCTAGTGAAGGAAAGAGGATGGGGTTGGGGCTGGAGACTCCAGCACGGGTCTGTCCCACATAACCATGACATGCAGCATTCAAGACCACCACCCCCGAGAGCCAAGGAAAGGAATACAGACAGAACAAGAGGAAGGGGAGAAGACTTGCACAGGGACTGCTGTGTGGGTCACTGACATGTTGAGAGACCTGGGAAGAGGGCACTGGCCAGGCAGACCCTCCTCCATAGTCAGCAAGCAGTGACCTTGGCAGGGACCTTGGGAACATCCCACCCAACCTCCATCTGAGGGTCACACTCACAAGCTGGCTAGCCCTAGAGGAGGATCAGGCTTCTCCCCAGCTGCACCTCATGGGATGGACCCACTGAGCACCCCATGAAGTGGTTAAGAACCACCACCCCCCTCACCAGCGTCTATGTGAGCTGGGTAGTGTGTGAGGCTAGGGAGGGGTCCTGGAGTTTGTGGCTCTGCTCTGCATGGACGTTTTCTCTCCAGATTCCTGGGACTTCAAGCAGTCCACCCGCAACATCTCCCCCACCATCAACCAGGCCAACATCGTGGACTTGCACCCGGCATCCGTGTACAGCATCCGCATGTACTCCTTCAACAAGATCGGCCGCAGTGAGCCGAGCAAGGAGCTCACCATCAGCACTGAGGAGGCCGGTAAGCAGCTCACCCTGCCACCCCTGTCTGTGGCCTCAGGGACCAGGGACTTCCGGGACCCCCACCAGCCCTGTCCTTTAGCAGGGAGGCTTGCAGTTAGAGCTGAGGAGGGATCCCACGGTGTTTGTGTCACCTTTGGGCCGGTGGCAGGTGTCCTGTTTGATCCTGTTCCAAATGGGACCCTAATGCTGGGCCTGGGGAGCTGTCCATGGTTCTGCCCTTCTGCCCAGGCCTCAGCCTGCCTGCAAAAGACAGATCTGCAAAGGGTGGACTGCTAGCCCCTGGATCCTTCTCTGTGACCCTCGCCATGGAGTTTTCCCGAAAGCTTAAGCAGGATTTCGCTTGCTGTATTTTATTTGTTGTGGTGAAACATGAAGCAATGCGGACAAGTATGTGTATGTACAGTCTTACAAATGAGCATGTAGTGAAACTAACATAACCAATATTGCATATCAGTTATCAGCTTGGGGAAATCCGACACAGCTTCTCTGCCCCTTGGGTGTGAGCCTTCTCTTCCTACCCACGCTCCTCCAGCTGGGGAGCACAGAGCTGAGAACACAGGGCCTCTCCCCTCCCAGAACCTGGCTCACAGCTGCTCCTTGTGTGCCCCCAGCTCCTGATGGGCCTCCCATGGATGTCACCCTGCAGCCAGTGACCTCACAGAGCATCCAAGTGACCTGGAAGGTGAGTGAGATGGAGGGCACCTCCCATGAAATGCCTTCTGCCCCTTCCCCACCACCCAATCCGGTGATGAAGCCCCCAGCAGGCTTGCTGGTCTCTAGTTTCATCTCCTGCCTGTGCCTGGTTGGCTGGTTGGTTTCACTAAACTCAGTGAGATTTGAAGGATGGAAGGAAGGCAGGGTAAAGGGCATCCATCCCCACCCTCCTCCACACCTGGGCTCTCTGGCCAAGGGTGGACCCGGGGTGGGATGGAGAACTTGTGGTGCCAACAAGGGAAGACGGCTCTTCCCCCACACTGGCGCGTCATCAAACGTTGAGTGTTGTGATAAGACAGAAATCGTGTCGGATTCTGCGCAAAGTTCTGACTCAGTAGCACCAGGATGAAAATAACTGCCCTCCTACCCCTCGGTGGGAGTGTGGGGGAGCTGTAGACGAGCCGCTTCCAAGGGCCGGAGTCAACAGAGGGAGGGGAGGCTGAAGCATCTGCCACTTAAGGAACTCTGCTAGGAGATGCACAGCTGGGAGGGTAGCAGCAGAATAACCTTGAGCAGCTCAAGGGGTGCCAGGCCCTGTCCCTCCATGGGCACGAGAGTGCTGACCACCTGCTCTAGTCTCCACGTGCTCTCTCTTACACCAGCTCATGTGACCCTCTTGCACGGTGGCCAGAGTCTCTTCCTCCCCACCCTGCAGAGGAGGCCCTGGGCGCGGAGATCTGTGGACACCTGCCCACGGTCACTCCAGCGGACACACGGTGGGGCTTCCCCACACACAGTCTAGAGCCACAGCCTGGTCTTCCCACCACAGCCCGCTGTTTGGAGCTCTGGAGTGGAGCTCTTCCTTCAGGCCCCTCCATGTTCCTCGTGGGACATTCCCATCTCGACAGGGATCAGGCATCCAAGGTGGTGTCCTGGGCTCTCTGGGAAGGGAGACTTGAGAGTGAGTGAGACTCAGAAGGCCTGGTGATATTTTCCCTAAGACACTCTGCATACACACACACACACACACAGGCACACAGCAACACAGGAGCCTGCTTGCTCCCTTCCCTGGAGAAGTGACCACAGGAAAGCAGGGAGGGACTGGGCTGCTGGTCCTTCCAGAGGGGCCAACCCACCTAGAAAACACCTGGATCCCTGGGTCCCCTCCAGATCTGGGCTCTTCCGCAGAGCCTGGGGCTGAAGCCCTGAGTCCAGTCCCCACATCTTGTCTTCCTGTCCGTGCCCTGGCTCTGGACCCGTTTCGCAGGAAACAGGATGTGGGAGGCAAGGGCAAGGACTGAATACATAAAATTTGGAGATATTTGGCTACAAAGCTCTGACCCTGAGGTCGATAAAAATTTAGAATCAGATTTATTTCTCCAAAGTCTCATAATGAAAAATAAAATTGATTAGAAAGTTAGAACTTCAGAATGAACCAGCCGGTCAATAAATTTGGGGACTGACTTCTCCAGGGATTTTTTTTTCAACACTGAGAAACAGATTAATGAAAAATAAAGATTCACTGGAAAGATAAGTCACTTCATTTTAAGACTCTTTCCGCAAGATGAATCGTCCCTGCTTTACGACATAAATTTGCAATCAGCTCTATTGATTTCTTAATGCTTCAGAGAAATGTTGTTAAGATTGATTTAAATCCTGAGTGTGCCATTGGGAGGAGAAAGAGAGAGACAGAGGGGAAGAGAAAAGAAAGAGAGGAGGGAAGGAAGGAGGCCCTGCCAAGATTTGTGTAAATACCTGAACATCTGTAGGGACGTGTCCAGGCTGGCCTGGAAGCCTAGGTCTGTCCCCTGTGGTCACAGTGCGGTTGTACAAGTAACATCAGAGTTCATGGGAAAATGAAACTGAAAGGTATGTCCATTTTGGAGCAAAAAAAAATTTGCAATCCATCCATACTTTTTTTCATAATATACATTTTTCATGAACTTTTCAAAGATCCCTTATATGCATAGATTTCAAAAAATTCTTACATTGGAATTAACTGATCTTTTAGCTCTATTTCCTGTGCACTCCTGTATCAAGTTAGAGAGCTCTAGGTAAGAAGGCGTGTGTGTAGGGTCACGGTGTTTACACCAAAATGAGCGTCGGCATGGACATGTGTAGCTGTAATGGGAGAGTGTCTGTCACTCCAAAGGGGATGCCAGGTTCCTTGAGATACATTTCTGTCTCTCTCTGAGATGTCTGCACGTGCGTGAGTGTGCACAAGCATACACGTGTGTGCATCCAAGATCCAAATGCAGAAATGTGCACATTTACATTCTAGCTTGCTGGACTGCCTGATGCAGAGAGAAACGTTATTCAGGCAGTAACAAAAACCCAAGTCAATTAACCACACACACCTATCTAGTGTGTTCAAAATGATTATGTTAAATTAAAAACTCCATTTTATTGAGTTAACAGCGAGCTTAAAAATGCAATCCATTTGAAACATTCATTGTGTTTAAAACAGAAAGTGGGGCTGTTGTACCAACTTAATTGTTTTTGATCTCACTCTTTTTTAGTACAATAAAAGGTGGGCTTTTAAATTAACTTCATTTGAAAACCCTGATACAAGCTGTTTTTATAGGCACTGGAGTGTGTTCTCTGTCTCAATTGATAGGCGGGCAGGCCCCTGTGTTAAATGAGCAGTTTCTCTCCGTGGGCCTGGATATGTGTGGCTGTGGGCCAGTGTGTGGGTTGGGGCATTGGTATTGGTAGGTCTGGATGTGAGCCAGTACATGGGGAGTGTGTGTGTGTTCATGTATGAGAATGCCATGTCTCAGAGAGTGTTCATGTGCTAATGTTTTCTCATCCAGGGTATCTGTGTGTCTGTGTTTGAGGGTGGATCTGGGCCCAAGCCTGGGATGGGAATGCAATGTCCAGAACCAGACAGTAGAGATTTCCCTGTTCGCCTCCCACCAGCCCCCTGACCCCCATGTCCTTGCCTTCGCTGCCCTGCCATGTGCAGGCTGTCAGCCCTCCCAACACCTCAGCCTCTGGCCCTGGTGTCTGGGGAAACCCAGACTCAGCCATCCCAGAGGGCTGGATCCAGGTAAAGTCAAGGACTCTTTAAGTTCTAGAAAAACCACACATAAAATCCACCATTGTAACTGTGTTGAGCAAGCAGTCCAGTGGCACTGAGTCTTCCCAGGGCTGTGTAGCCATCACTGCTGATGTTCTCAGAACTTGCTCAACATCCCAGCTAGAATTCTGCACCTGTTAAACATTCGCCCAGGGCACTTGCTTGGCACGATGGTTGGGATATCTGCATCTCCTCTCAGAATGCCTGGGTTTGGGTCCTGGCTCCACTCTTGATTCCAGCTTCCAGAAAATGTTCACCCTGGGAGACAGCAGTGATGGCTCAAGTACCCATATCCCTACCCATACATGTGGGCGCCCCAGAAGGAGTTCTAGGCTCCAGACTTCAGCCCGGCCCAGCCCTAGCTATCACAGGCATGTGGAGGGGAGTGGGGATGTGAACCAGTGGATGGGAGATCTCTTTCTCTGTCTCTCTGCCTTTGAAATAAGTTAAATTAATACTACTTCCTATGTTCCCTTTTCCCAGTTCTTGGAAACTTCTATTTTACCTTCAGTCTCTATGGAGTCATTATTCTAGGAATCTCCTAAGTGAAATCAAACAGTATTTGTCCTTTTGTATCAGGCTTATTCACTTAGCATAATGCCTTCAAGGTTCATGTGTGTTGTAGCATGTAGCAGGATTTCCTTCCTCGTTAAGGCTGAGTGATAGTCCATGGTCCACACACAACACGTTTCGTGTGGCCATGCACCTGTCACCAGGGGCTTGGGTTACATCCACCTCTGAGTGGTTGTGGATCCCACTGTCTGTGGAAGTCCCTGCTTTCAATTCTTTGGAGTGTGTGCCCAAAGTGGAATCACAGGACTATGTGGTAATTCTCCGTGGAACTGAGGAACAGCCAGACCGTGTTCCACAGTGGCCGCCCTGCCCACGTCGCACCAGCAGTCAACAAGGGCTCCAACTTCTCCACACCCTCGCCAATGCTTATTTTCCATTTGTTAATCATTCTCATCCTAAGGGGTGTGAAGTGGCATCTCGAGACTTTCTTTTCATACAAATTAATTGCTCATCTCCCTCTCCGTCTGATTACTGTTTGTCTGATACTCCACTTTGTCCCAGGCCCCTGTGCCATGCCAAGGGATATCCCCATTCATTCATTCATTCATTCATCCAACATGTACTAAGGGCCTAGGCTCATTTTTTTAGGTTTATTTATTTATTTGAAAGAGAGAGAGAGAGAGAGAGAGAAAGCTTCCGGCCGGCGCCGCGGCTCACTAGGCTAATCCTCCACCTTGCGGCGCCGGCACACCAGGTTCTAGTCCCGGTCGGGGCACCGGATTCTGTCCCGGTTGCCCCTCTTCCAGGCCAGCTCTCTGCTGTGGCCCGGGAGTGCAGTGGAGGATGGCCCAAGTCCTTGGGCCCTGCACCCCATGGGAGACCAGGAGAAGCACCTGGCTCCTGCCATCGGATCAGCACGGTGCACCAGCCACAGCGCGCTGGCTGCAGCGGCCATTGGAGGGTGAACCAATGGCAAAGGAAGACCTTTCTCTCTGTCTCTCTCTCTCTCACTGTCCACTCTGCCTGTCAAAAAAATACATAAAATAAAATAAATTTTAAAAAAAGAAAGAAAGCTTCCATCCACTGATTCATTTCCTAAATGGCTACAATAACCAGAGCTGGGCCAAGCTGAAATCAGGAGCCTGGAACTCCATCCGGGTCTCCCAACATGAGTGTCAGGAGCCCAAGCACTTGAACCATCTTGTGCTGCTTTCCCAGGTACAATTATGTAGCTGGCTCAGAAGTAGAGCCCCTGAGACTCAACCCAAAACTCATATGGGATGCTGGCATCACAGGTGCTGGCTTAACTCACTGCAAACAGGCTCCATTTAGACACCGAGCTCCATACAAATCATCAAGGCCCACCAGACTCCTCCTCGTGGTACTCACAGTCTAACCAGGGCAGGTGGTCAAACCCATAGGTAAAATCTATAAAGTAGCCTATGATGACAAGTGTCATAGAGGAAAATTCATCCAGGAAGCAAAACTCGGGGCTGCTGGGCCAAGGCAGGAGCCAGGAGGCCCATGAGGGAGGGGGCGTGTCGGCTAGCACAGGACAGTGGCGGAGAGCACCAGGGTGTGCGTCTCCGCGGAGGAAGTGTCCCTCTGCCAGGGGAGCAGGCCCGCCTAGAAGTGGGAAGGGGAAGCCAGCAGGAGAGGAGCCAGCTGAGAGGCAGTGGTGCCAGGTGTTAGGGGGCCGTGTAGCCACCGTGAGGGCCCTGGGTTTCCCCCGAGTGGGATGGGAGCCTTGGCAGGCTCAGCACAGAGGAGAGACGTGACCTGGCTTGGGTTTTAAGAGCATCGCCTGAGCGTGAAGTGGTGTTTCTTCGTCCCCACCCTCCCCATGCTCACAGGCACCCAAGAAGGAGCTGCAGAATGGCGTCATCCGGGGCTACCAGATCGGCTACAGGGAGAACAGCCCTGGCAGCAATGGGCAGTACAGCATCGTGGAGATGAAGGCCACTGGGGACAGCGAGGTCTACACCCTGGACAACCTCAAGAAGTTCGCCCAGTATGGGGTGGTGGTCCAGGCCTTCAACAGGGCTGGCACGGGGCCCTCCTCCAGCGAGATCAATGCCACCACCCTGGAGGACGGTGAGGGCAGCAGCAGGCGGGTGGACGGGATGCCAATCCCAGCCATGGGCAAAGCCAGGGCAGCCAGCAAGGGCGTGGGGCTGCTTCCACTCACTGGGGGCCTGGCTTGTTCCTGTGGCCCACGCAGACTCCCTGAGCAGCCCCCTCTCCTCAGGACACTGGTCCATTTGGCACTCTAGGCCCTCCATCCATCTGGCTGCCCCTTACCCAGGCGCCTGCTCCAGTCCTGCCTGCAGGCTGTCCATTGGCCTATGCGCCTGAGCACTTGGCTGTCCACCCTCCTTCCACCCCTGCTTCTCCCTCTACCTTGTCTTCCTCCTTCCCAGCCCCCAGCCCATCTCTCTGACCCACACTCTTGCTTCTACTCCCTGGTTCTGTTTCTCCCCCATTGCAGCTTCTTGGAAAATGGAGCAGAAGCCAGGTGCCCTTTGTGTCTCTAACCTGGAACCCACCCCCACTGTTTTAATTAAGGCCCTACGATGAGGCTGTGGAGCTAAGCAATCCTGACACCCATGTGGCTTGGGTTTTAAAACTTAGTTCCTTGATGAGCAGGAGGGACCCAGCACTTCAAGGCCCTCATTTCTGCATGGGGGAGAGGGCTAGGAGGAAGTAGGAATACACCTGCTCACCAAGCTCAGAGACACCAGCTGGCACCTGAGCCTGCGCTGGCCAAGAGGTGACTTAGCCAGGATGCCCCCAGAGATGCGGCCGGGCTGCTTACAGCCCTGCAAAGAGCAGAACAAAGAAGAACAGAGCATTCTTCCCCAGCACCCTTCTTGATGTCCCAAACAAAAGGGTGTCCGTGAGCCTGAGCCTGCCCACTCCATCCCCACAGAGGATGGCCCAGCTCCGGAGAGCAGGAGGCTGCAGCCCCTGGTCTGCCCCGTTGCCCAGGACCCCCTGTTAGGGAGCTGTCCTCTCAGGTTAAGCAGTGCTTTCTACCTCCCTTGCCCTCTGGGAAGACGTAGCAACCCTTGGGGGTCGGGGGGACACGTTAGGTCAGAAGCACCTGGGAGTGCTTTAGCTCAAGCCCGCAGTTCCTGACTCTGGTTGCAAAATGCTGATGCCCAGGCACCATCCCCAGAGAGCCTCACCTCCTTGCAGCAGTGGGGCCTTGGAATGGGGCAGACGTCAGTGCCCCGGAGCCCTGGGTATCTGGGGCTGGTCACAGAGCTGACCTGCAACCCCTGGCGCAGCCCACGACCCTCGCCATCCTCCCTCTCCCTCCCCACCTCCCGGTGGGGGGAGGGGGCTGGTCACAGCACAGACCTGGCTGGGTCCAGGAAGAACAGCTTGTCCCCTGCACCAACCAGACCTGAGCCCACGCAGCAGCTCCCCTGGAGGCCTGTGAAGCAGACAGCTGGGCCACCGCCCCACAGCTGCCGCTGTAGCAACTCGGAAGCCAGGGCCAAGAGTCTGCGTTTCTCAGCTCGCCGGGCACTACTAATGCTGTGGCCAGGGAGCCCATTGGGAACCACAGCCCCGAAGGGAAGCCGGGACTCACGCATGCGGAGTGACCTGTCCAGAGTTACCGATCTTGTCAATTACAGAACCCAGGCCCAACCCTGAACCACCAGCTCCTGCTTCACCCTCTTGTTCCCAGGGGGACAGCGGCCCAACGTAACACTAGGGCTCCCGTAATCCCTGGGGCCACGCCAGGACACAGCCACTGTCAGGGCCTCACCTCCCTTGCCTTGTGGGGGCCCCTGGCGTTCCCGGCAGGGAGGGATCTGCTTGGGCTGGGGAGGGGAGGGAGAAAGTTTCCAGCAGCATTTGCTCAGCAGTTTTTCATACTTAATTAGGGCTCTCGTTAGCCTGTCAGATCCTGATCGTTTCCTGGCAATATTAGCGCTCCTCCTGGGGTAGTCAAGGGCCCCTGCTTTAGCAATAGTGTCTTTTCCATAATTATATTACCTTCATTTTGTTCGAACGGGCGATCTGTATTAGTTTATTACACTGGGTCCCTAATTACATGGTGCTTATATTTTTACACCTAAGTAATATGAAACAATAATCATTCTCAAAGAGCGTCGTTAGGATGATGTATCATCATTTAAATGCTCATAAAAATTAGAGTTGCCTCTTGTGGGGCAACGGGATCTAATTACCTTCCATCCCGCCTGTGCCTCCTCGCTCCCTCTCAGAGCCACACAGCACCATCTTTTTTTTTTCCTGTTGTCCCATGCCCCTCGGAGGCCAGTAGGAAGTGCCACCAGAGGCCTCCCTGGCTGGGGTGGACCCTGGAGCCAGAGTTCTCACCGCCTGCCATCCGCTTAGCAAGGGCCAGCTGCCCCCCAGCCAACCTAAGGTGGCCCCTGAGAGTCGTCCCATCGTTTCTGGCATTTTGGGGACAGGGACTAGTGCACTGGTCCCCGAAGTCCTCAAAGTCCCTACAGAAACTTCTCTCTGCACCAGGGTGGGTTAGCTCCCCTTCTCTCCCTTCAGTTTGATGCAAAGGGGACACATCGGTTCCTGAAACCAGGCCTCGGCTCAGACGCCATGGTCAGATGGCACCCCCGTGGCTGGTGGCCATCAGATGAGGTAGTGAATTTCAGATTCCTCTGGGGTGGCTTGGCCTCCTCCAGGTTTGGTCACATGCAGCAGAGGCAGGCCCTGGCCGAAGTGGTCCACCCGTGAGTTCCCAGGGGCTTGGGCCCAAAGCTCATCACCATCTTCCCTGGGAATTAACCAGGACCACCCAGAGAGCAAGGAACCAAGTCTGCTCTGATCTCTGGAAGGGAGCGCTGGTTCACTCCCCTCACCCAGCCCCAACCTCACCACCCTCTGAGTCAGGAAATCCCTCTGCTTGTCTAACTGGAGGACGGCAGGACCCCGCCTGGGGCGCCTGAGCTGTGCTGCCACTCGCATTTCTGATTGGTCCCTTGTTCTCCCCTAACCCATGCAGTGCCCAGCCAGCCCCCCGAGAACGTCCGGGCCCTGTCCATCACCTCCGACGTGGCAGTCATCTCCTGGTCGGAGCCCCCACGCAGCACACTCAATGGGGTCCTCAAAGGCTATCGGGTCATCTTCTGGTCGCTCTACGTGGACGGGGGTGAGTCTGCTGGGTCTGCTGGCCGGGTGTTTGGATGACAGGTGCTAGGTCGGTGGGGGGGGGGTGCTTTCAGAGGAGTGGGGAGGGAGGGTGGGCAGCTGGGACTGGCACCTGTAGGAAGTCTGGTGTGGTGGAAGAGGAAGCAGGACTCCCAGAACCTAGAAGAGAGAGCTGGAGCAGACTGGCAGCTAGGTACACACCTGCACAGCGAGCCCCAGAGACCCAGAGAAGTGCAGGCCAGAGCACAGGGCAGGGCAGGAGGGGGCAGAGAGCAATGGAGAAATCCCGCCCAGTGGCCCAGCTTCGGGGGTATCCTCCTTCCTCTGGGGGTGCAAACAGGTGGGTGTAGCCCCACAGCCCCACCCAGCTCCACCCACCAACATACACCAGAACCTTCAGGTTGGCCAGGAGCTCGGCCGTCCTGCAAGCTAGGGTCCAGCCTCCCAGACTGTGAGATCGCTCCCAGAGGCCTCGGCCCTCCCCCCCAGACCACCAGGGCTGACCTGAGCGCACCTTGCCGTGTCCCCAGCCCCCCCCCAGGCCTTGTGTCCTCTCTGTGCTAGGGGACCTGGGACTCCGGCTCACAGCCACCTGCCCGTAGGATGTGCTGCCCCATGGCCCTCTCCTCGGTCTCCCGCGACCCACGGGGGCCTCTCACCTCTCACTCAGGGCTCTCTGGTCTCTGCATCTCCCTAGTCCCGCTGTGAGAAGCCAGGCCACGCTGCCCAGAGCACGACAGCGCAGTCACATCACAGCGCCAGGCCATGTGGGGCCACTTCCTTCGTTCTCCAGAGATTCCCTGTTTTCTCAGCCTAGCCCTCCCGAAAGGCACAGGCCTTGGGGATCCCCAGTCCACCTAGACTGTGGCCACCCTGCCCTCCCCCGGGTCTTTTCTCGGGCTGCAGTCCTGGTCGGGTCTACCTGGTCTTCTTGCTTACAGCCCTCCTGAGACAAACAGATCCTGCTGCCCAGGCCTCTGAGACCCCCACTCCCTGTGCAATCAACCTGCAGGCCCTTCTTGCTGGGCATGGCATTCTCACCCTCTGGTGCCCAGCAGACCACTGCCCTCCCATGGCCAGGCCCTCTGCCTCCGGCCCTCTGCCTGTGCCGCATCACGAACCAGGCGCCAGCAGTGGGGATGCAGGGTCCATCCCCACGAGGCCCGACCTCAGCCAGCGCCCGGGCCTGTGTGTCTGAAAGCCCAGTACCCGCAGCAAGAAGCTCGAGAGCCTGTCTCTTCCCCTTCCCCGAGCCTGGCCCTCCGGGCAAGCCTCTCCCTGAGCCTTCTTTGCAGTCTGAGCCCGGATGTTGGGCTGACGGCACCCACTCTTGGCAGGCAACGGCTGTGTCCTCAGTGGTGAGGCGAAGCAGAGGAGTCACTTAGCCCCTGACCCTAAGTGGGAGTCCAAGCAGTGGCCCGGGAGCCCTCAGAGGCAGGGGAGGGAGCCTCAGGCCCTGAGTCGTGCCAGGGTGACCAACAGCCCCTGGAGATCCGAGCCCCAGGGAGGGGCTGAGGCAGTGAGGGAGAAGGCTGCGGGCTGTCCCACCTGGGCTGGGCTCCCCTCTGGGTTGCAGGCACCTCAGGGTCTCTCACACGTGAGACAGTTGAGTGGCAGGCGGGCAGACAAGTGGAGAGATGGAGGGATTCTAAAGGGTGTCAAGTGGAAGTTGGTGCAGGGTCCACTGGGGATTGCGCCAGCCAGCATACGTGGCCCACCCTGATTGGGCCCCTTCGGGAGAGACTTAGCCCTGGGGCCAGCAGCCAGGATCTGCTCACAGGTACCCCGAGGTGGAGGGCCGGCCCTGTGGGCTGCTCTCTGTGCTGGGAGCCTGGTGCAGCAGGCTAGGGCCTGGCTGGCCGTGCTCAGGTGCCCCTTGTGCCGGCAGAGTGGGGCGAGATGCAGAACATCACCACGACGCGGGAGCGCGTGGAGCTGCGGGGCATGGAGAAGTTCACCAACTACAGCGTGCAGGTGCTGGCCTACACGCAGGCCGGGGACGGCGTGCGCAGCAGTGTGCTCTACATCCAGACCAAGGAGGACGGTGAGTCCAGGCCCCCGAGCCCCGGCCCACCTGCAGGGCACCGCCCCTTCTCCAGAACCTGGGCACACCCTGGGCCCCGCTTCGGGAAGGACACGGCTGATGCAGGCCTCATGCATAAACATCTGGCCTGTGCCCACCCTGCAGCACCGAGTCGTGGGCCAGAGGAGCCCTCCCCTCCAGCCCCACCCCCGGGCCTCCCCTGCGAGCCAGGTTCAGCCTGGCTTCCTCCGGACACACGTGCAGAGTGAAGTAGGAACGTCGCCCAGCACCTCCTGCGTTTAGGGCATGCAGTCACCCCACAGGAGTCCCAGGGGACCACGGCCTGGACACTCAAGGAGGGGAATGGGACGTGCCTCCATCTGGAGCTGTGGTCTCAAAGCAACTTCTCCTGGGAGCCAGAGACTCAAGGGAAGAGGGACAGAGGCTGGAAGCTGAGTCACCCTGGAGTGGGCTGGGAGAGGGGCCAGACGTCCAGCCTGGGCCACAGCCACTGTCACACAGAAGCAGCTGCGGGTGGCGGCACAGCTCTGGGTGCAGCTCCCAGACCCCAGCCCTCTCTGTCAGCTGTTCCTTACCGAGTGCTCCAAGCCAGGCGCACTGTGTGTTAGAAGAGGCGGCTGAGATGCACAGCGGCTGGCACGCAGCAGGCGCTAAGCAGTAGCTGGTTCCTTCCCAACCAGCCTCAGTTTTATTTTAAGGGGTACCAAGGCGCAGAGTCTCAGTCCTACCCTAACAAGTTGGCAGAAGGTTCTGGAAGGTGCTGAAAAGGAGTGATTGGTGCTGCAGTCCCAGGGCCCCAGTGGCCAGTGCAGGCCAATGCTGTGACTGGACCAGCTTCCAGCTCAGCTTAATCTCCTCACTCTCCCTAAGCCCCTCCCTGTCCCCCAGCCCCCCAACACCGCCCCGAAGCTCTGAGGACTTCAATATTTACCAACCTCCTGCTCTACTTTCCCTGCCAATAATTCCCCCACTGAGGCTTCCCGGGGCACAGCCACCTGCTCTCGTGTGGAATCTGAGCTGAGATGGCACCAGAGCCTGGTCCTCCCTGAAGCCTTGGGTCCACACACACGCAGGCACCTTCCCAGATTCTGGAAATGAGCCACCAGGGCCTGCAGGCCCCTTCCCGCCCCCACTCTGATGGAGACCTGAGCCTCACACACCTCCACTGCTTGCCCAGGCGGAGGCCCTGAGGAGCCCAGAGGCCTAGGAGCGCCACCCCTCCCTGCGAGGAGCCCTCCCGCCCTCACCTTGGCCCTGGCACCACTGAGGAAGCCGCACATGCGGGCACACAGCCGCGCAGAGCCTGGGAGGCTCCGCCCCGCGAGTCGCTTCACCCCTCTGGGCCTCATTCCACTCCTGATGAAATGGGCACAGTGATGCCTCCTTGAGCGAGACAGCTGGGACAGCCTTTCTCTGAGGTCCGATGCTGGCGGCAGGGGCTGCATTATAGCTACCGAGGTGCTGGTGATGAAATGACTGAGGGCTCAGTGTCCCCAGGTAGGAGCCCGGGCTGTCCAGCGAGGCCTCAGCCCAGAGTCCAAACATGACTGTGCATTGTGCCAGCCTAACAATTCAACCTTCCCAACAGCCCTTGGAGCTAGCTGTCATTTCCATTTTTTAAACATTTATGTATTTATTTGAAATGCAGAGATACAGAGAAGACAGAGAGAGAGAGATCTTACATCCACTGGTTCACTCCCCAAATGGCCAAAGCTGCCAGGGCTGGACCAGGCTGAAGCCAAGAGCCAGGAGCTTCTTCCAGGTCTCCCACATGGGTACAGGGGCCCAAGCACCAGGGCCATCCTCCACTGCTTTCCTACGTGCATTAGCAGGGAGCTGGATCAGAAGTGGAGCAGCCGGGACTTGAACTGGCGCCCATAGGGGATGCTGGCACTGCAGGTGGAGGCTTAACCTACACCACAGCGCTGGCCCCTTATTTCTGTTTTACAAGTGATAAAACTGAGGCCTGGAGAGCATACGCTGCTCTCCAAACACTCCTTAGCTAACAGTGGCAAATCCAAGCTTTCTGATCTACCTTACCCTCCATGCCTCCCATCAGCCCCTTGCATCTGAGATCCCGGGAGTTTGGGTGCAATAGAAGGCCCAGCTGAAAGCACTGTAAGTGGAAAGCTCATGCATGATTGTACTACAGGAAGCCTTGAGCAGGGCGGCGCAGGGTGGCTCGCACCTGGCCGGGCTCCACTGAGCCAGAGGATGGCTGCAGCCGGGCATCCCACTTGGGCCAAGCTGAGAGAGGGGGCAGTCTCTTCCCATGCGAGAAACCTTTCCCAGGAACCCCTCTGCGGAGTCATCCTCAGTTCTCACGGGCAGGAACAGGCACAGCACTCATGCTAAGCCAGTCACCCTGGCCGACTCACGCCAAGCGCGACTCATCTCTGGCATAGGAGACGTAGCGGTCTCTGAAGCATGGAGTAGCAAAGGTGAGGTGGGAGTGGGAAGAAGGGCTGGTTGGGCCTCCACTCTGCCTGTCCAGCAGGCCGCCCTGCCCCACAGCTGCAAGTCCTTACAGGAATTGCTACTGGCGAGGCGAGCAGACAGCTCTGTGTTCCGGTCCCAGCCCTGCCATGGCTCCTGGGGCAAACCTAACCTGAAGACACCGTGACCCCACCTACCCCTGGGATGTTGTATCTCTCTAAAGGAGAAAGTAATCAGAAAATTCAGAGGAAAGCCAAAAGAAATGAAAAGACGCAAACAAATGAATTCAGGTTCATTCCCTAAGCCTAGCTCTCTTGCACTGAGCTTGGTTTCAGGCTGGCTCGGCTGGACTCAGCTCATGAGCTCCCAAGCCTTGGGGCTGCTGCTCATCTCCCCAGTGACTACCGAAGCTGGCTCCAAGTGTAAATCGGGGCTGTATGTTTTTTAAGATTTGTTTTTATTTTAAAGACAGAGTTACAGAGTAGGTAGAGACAGAGAGAAAGGTCTTCCATCCACTGGTTCACTCCCCAAATGGCATCAACAGCTGGAGCTGAGCCGATCTGAAGTCAGGAGCCAGGAGCTTCTTCCAGGTCTCCCATGGGAGTGAAGGGGCCCAAGGACTTGGGCCATCTTCCACTGCTTTCCCAGGCCACAGCAGAGAGCTGGATCGGAAGTAGAGCAGTTGAGACGCAAACCAGCACCCATATGGGATGCCGGCGCTTCAGGCCAGGGCTTTAACCCGCTGCCGCACAGCACCGGCCCCAGCAGGGGTGGGTTTTAGGCCACGTCAGAGACCTTGACTGAGGCAAAGGCATGACTAAGGTAGGGGTGGAGGAACAGGGACCAGAGATGAGGAAGTCACTCTCGGGACAGCAGCGGTGAGGAGGAAGGGCAGGAGGCTGGTTAGGGCAACGTGGCGGAGTTCTGCCTCCAACAATGTGGCCTGGGAGACTCCACACCAACCCCCTTTCCCCTTGCCAAGGACACCCAGGAAATCTGGGTAAAACACTTTATAAGCACCTGCTTGGAAGCATCAGAGCACTGGCAGGAGAGCAAACAGATCCAAAGGAAAATAGAGGCCCAGGAGGTGAGCCTGGGCTCTGCAACAGCTCCTTCCCAGAGGGGCAGGTGCTGAACCTGGAGCTGTGGCTCAGACGCTGAGCAGCACTAGGAAGACATGCACTGAAGGTCAGGCCTGCGCAGGTGTGGCTGTCTAAGGAATTCCCTTCACATGAGCCAAGGCCGTGAGGGACAGCAGTCTAGGTGCAGAAGTACACAGCTCAGCTTTGAATCATCTCCGTGCTGGAAACTGGATTAGAGCAAACCTAGATTGCAGATGCAAATTTGAATCCTTTCTTTAAGAAGATATCATCTGAGGCCTCATTATCTCCGCAAACAATTTCACAAAGCAGTATCTGGCACATGATATAAAATAAGGACACAAGAGAAAAGGCAGCAGGAAAGAGGGAGAAAAGAAACAGATCCACAGATACTCCAGACAGTTTTATTAAACATGGACTTCATGATAATTATGCTTCACGAAGTTGAAATTTTCAGAGAATTGGAACTATCAAATGGAAAATCTAGACATGAAAATGCTAACACCTGAAATTCAGATTGCAGTAGATGGGTGTAACAACATATTTGATACAGCTGAAGGGACAATGAGTGAATTGGAAGATATGTCAGAAGAAAATATCCAAATGGAACCTAGAAAGACAAATGGATAGGAAATGGTAAAAGTGCAGGTCGAGTCACAGAGAAATTATTCTTAAACTTTAATGTGCACACAGATCACTTGGGAGTCATGTTGTTGAGATTCAGATTCTGACTCAGTAGTTCTAGGATAACACCTGAGATCTTACATTTCTAACATGCTTCCAGGTGGTGCCACTGATGGACCTTTGGGCCACGTTTTGAGTGTTAAGGACACAGAGGATGCAATGGGAAGGCATCCCAAAGAGGAGGAGGAAGAGAATGTGACAAAAAGATAAAATGTCTGAAAATGTTGATGAAAGATATCAAGCCACAAATTAAAGAAGTTCTATAAATTATAAAGCGAATATATTAAAGAAATACACACCTGGCCGGCGCCGTGGCTCAATAGGCTAATCCTCCGCCTAGCGGCGCTGGCACACCGGTTTCTAGTCCCGGTCAGGGCACCGGATTCTGTCCCGGTTGCCCCTCTTCCAGGCCATCTCTCTGCTGTGGCCAGGGAGTGCAGTGGAGGATGGCCCAAGTGCTTGGGCCCTGCACCCCATGGGAGACCAGGATAAGTACCTGGTTCCTGCCATCGGATCAGCGCATTGCGCCAGCCACAGCACGCCAGCCGCGGCAGCCATTGGAGGGTGAACCAACGGCAAAAGGAAGACCTTTCTCTCTGTCTCTCTCTCTCACTGCCCACTCTGCCTGTCAAAAAAAAATAAAATAAAATAAATAAACAAATAAAAATAAAAAAAGAAATACACACCTAATCACATCATAATAAAATGAAGGGGGGAGGGAGATAGATACTAAAAGTAACCAGGTGGGTGGACATTTGGTGTGGCAGTTAAGACACTGCTTAGAGCACCCACATCCCATGCTGAAGTTCCTGGGCTCAAGTTCTGGCTCTGTTTCCAATTCCAGCTTCCTATTAATGCACTCCCTGGGAGGCCACAGGTGATGGTTCAAGTACTTGAGTCCCTACCATAACTATGATAATGTCTCTGAAGAATTAAAGTACAAACAATGGCATATAAATTGAGAGAGGGTAAATGGAAGTTTGTAGATCCTTGCATTGTCTGAAAAGAAAAGTGCCACTTGGTAATAGCCATCAAACTAACAGAGGAAGTAAAATGGAATATTTTTTAAATAATCCAAAAGAAGACCAAAAAAGTAAAGGAAAAACAACATAGGTGGACAAACAGTGCATTTAGTAAGATGGGATATTTAAACCTAAATATATCAGGAACTGCACTAAAGATAAACTGACTAAATTCTCTGATTAAAAGATAAAGACTATAAGACTGGCAAATATGTGCTGTGTATGGGAGACATGTAAAACGTAAGGGCTTATTGCTTCTCAGCCTTTTGGCTTAGATAAAGCGTAAAACATAAGGGCTTAGAAAAGTTCAGCATCAAAGAATGGGAAAAGATAAAAGGCAAACTGCAACGTTGTCTAAAAGAGAGCTAGAATATTAATATGGTGTACTTGAAGGCAGAAGGCATTGCTAGAGGTAAAGAAGGACACGTGACTATGATAAAAGCCCAGATTTGCTAGGGAACTACAGCAGCTCTAAATTTTTGCATGCACCTAATCATATAGCCTCAACACGTGGAAAAGCAAACACTGGCAACTACAAGGAGAAACAGCCAGTCTAAAATCATGGACGATTTTAGCGCATCTCTCTTGAGATGTGCTAAGTGATAGGAAAGGGAAGTGTGCAAGAAGATTTGAACACTTCAGTGAGCACACTTACTCTCATGGCCAACCCCAGACCCCCACACCCTACAACTGCAGATGCCGAGCGGAGTGGCAGATGGCAGAGCTGTCCCAGGGAAGACGGGCGGCATGAAGGCCAACTCCCAGCTTCCAGGCTCAGAGCACTGGGTGGTGGTGATGCTGTGTCCAGTTACTTCACTGAGCCCCAATTGTCAGCCACTTACTAGGGAGAGGAAGTCAAGTAGGTGCCGCAGGCTGAGAATTGAGAGAGAAAAAGGCAAAAATCATCCTCGTTAGAGTTTATTGAGTGTCTGGTGCAGTAGCTGCTGCGCTAGGTGCTTTATTTTAATGGGCACCAAGTCTCTCCACAACCCTTTAATGTGGTGGTCACCTCAGTGGTATAGGTGGGGAAACTGAGCTCAGAGGGAGTAAAATAAAGTGAGCAGGATGCTGTCACCGTCCACAAAGCAGCAGCAGATCTCAGGAGGCAGGACACAAGAGGAGAACCATGCAATACAGGTGTGAAGATGGGGAGTGTGCGGGAGCTGCCGGTGTCCCAGGCAGCCCAGAGGCGGGACCAGAGCAGCTCAGGGTCACGTGAGCTGGCGTCCACTTAGAGTGGGTTTCCTGGCTGCTCCGGGGGTGGACTTTCCTTCTTGGAAACAGAAAGGGCCAAGCTGGTGCCCAGAGGTTGTAGCCTCAGCCCCAAGGAATGCAGACCAAAAAGAGTAAGATGGCGTGTGCTGGCATGCTGTCTCCCCCAGACACAGGCTTGTGGTTAGTGAGGGCACTGGGGGCAGGGATCCTGAGCTCCTCCCCGGTTCTCTTTCTCACCTGCCTGTCCCAAGTCTTTGGTTCTAGCCAAACGATTCTGCAGCTGCTGTACTCTAAGGGCCTCCACTATGGAAATTTTGTTACAAGTCCAAAGGGTCACCTTTCTCCTTTCCTCTGTTTGCTAGCCTCTATTTAAAACATAGCTCAAGGACACCACCTCCAGGAAGCTCTGCCAGATTGATCTGCCTCATTCTCCCCTACTCCAGTTCCTCCCACAGGCTATGCTCCTCCTTTCTCTAAACTGACCAGACCTTCTCCCTGCTCAGTTCCAGGTCCCCCTGCTGGCATCAAGGCTGTCCCTTCATCAGCCAGCAGTGTGGTCGTGTCCTGGCTGCCCCCCACCAAGCCCAATGGGGTGATCCGCAAGTACACCATCTTCTGCTCCAGCCCCGGGTCTGGCCAGCCGGTAAGTGGGGCCCAGGATGGAACAATGAGGGGCACAAGAGAAAAGCAAAGGTGGGCCGGCGCGCGGCTCACTAGGCTAATCCTCCACCTAGCGCCACCGGCACACCGGGTTCTAGTCCCGGTCAGGGCACCGGATTCTGTCCCGGTTGCCCCTCTTCCAGGCCAGCTCTCTGCTGTGGCCAGGGAGTGCGGTGGAGGATGGCCCAAGTGCTTGGGACCTGCACCCCATGGGAGACCAGGAGAAGCACCTGGCTCCTGCCTTTGGATCAGCACGGTGTGCCGGCCGCAGCACGCCGGCCGCGGCGGCCATTGGAGGGTGAACCAACAGCAAAGGAAGACCTTTCTCTTTGTCTCTCTCTCTCACCATCCACTCTGCCTGTCAAAAAAGAAAGAAAGGAAGGAAGGAAGGAAGGAAGGAAGGAAGGAAGGAAGGAAGGAAGGAAGGAAGGAAGGAAGGAAGAAAAGCAAAGGCACCCTGCAGATCAGCTGGCTGCCAGGCCACACCCTGGCTGCATCCGCCCAGATTCGTGGATGAGAACAACCACGGGTCACCCCGCGGTGCCAGGGCTTTACCCACTCTCCATCTTGGATAAGTCCTCTGTTCCAGGGGCTGCAAGATCGTCCCAAGCCCCAGAGGCTCCCTTACGGCAGGAGGATCACAGCCAAGCAGGCAGGTACAAAGCTTCCATCTGGTTGGCCAAGGAAGCTCTAGCAGGCCCCAGGATGGGGACTGAGGACTGGCTGGTCTGTGGCCCTAGGAATGATCCATGGTGAGTTCTGCATAGACAGCGTAGGCTTGGAGGGGCTGCAGCAGCTCTGGCCTGGGTGGCCACCCCAACGTGGAGCTAGATCAGGGGAGGAGGAAAGATGCTATTGAGAAAGGCAAGGGCCAGGGCCTAGGGCTGAGAGATTGCGCTACCTGCCCACACCCTCGGAGCAGAGGGGCAGCCCCAGGTGGGGGCACAGAGCAGGGGGCAGCCCCTACCCTCCCAGTGAGTACTCAGAGGGGCCCCATCATCAGCATCTTCCCCTGCCTCTCTCGTCTCCAGCCGCTCAGCCCCAAAGTCCGGCTGAGTGACTACCCTAGCACGTTGCCTGTTGTAGGTACCGGAGCAGGTGCAACCAGGCTAGTGGGAGTGGGGCAGAAGGGAGCACACTGGCGGGCCTTGAGGAGGGGTTGGGGAGCACGGAGCAGGGGGAGGAGGCCGGCCTCTCCTCCATCAGCAACTTATCAGCCTGAGCAATTACAGGTTTGCACTCGGCCTCCAGGAAGCCGCCCTGAAATCACGCAGTGACTGTGTCATCTGTGTGGATTGGCCTTTGGTGGCAGGTGGCCAAGCTCCTCACCACAGAGGCCAGAGTTCTCTTAGGGGAGGGAAGCCCCCCAGCCCTGCCCTCCTGGGTGCATGTGGCATGGTGACCACGCAGCCCCATGAAGCCGCACGGCGCTCCAGGCAGTGCCCCAGGGCAGGGGACAGGGCACAGCAAGCTCTCAAGCCCCGCCAGTCCCCACCAGGGCGACCCCTCTGGTGACCTTGGGAACATCATCAGCGCTGCCTCTTCCTATCTTTGTGTAAGTGGAGACACACCCTTGTCTGACTTCTGTTGCTTAGCATTATTTTGAATTTGTGAATGTCAGACCCATCATGGCGTGTGGCCTCGGATCACTCTCACCTCCACATAGCTTTCGGTTGCATGCAAAGATCACAGCACAGTTTTCCATTGTGCTATCAATAGATACCCATGAGGGAAGGGTTGCATTCTTTTCTGTTGGGGGCTGTTCCAGTGGTACGGCTGTGGGCATTCTTGTACTTGGCTCTGGGCACTCGTGCGTATGTGTTCCTGTTGGGCACAGAGCTAGAAGGGGAAGCGCTGGGCAGGGTGCACAGGTGCTGGCTGACAACACCCTGCCCTGATGGGTGCTGGGCCAATCACACCTCATCACAGGTGCCCCACATCTACATGGACAATGGGGATTACCCAGGCAGTCAGTCTCTCTCTCTTTCTCTCTCTCTCTCTCTGTCTCACACACACACACACACACACACACACACCCTAGGAGCTCGTAACACCAAACCCCTCACCCTGCTGGACACCCACTATGCCTTCTCACTCCTCCGCACCCTGCCCCACTGGCTTCCCACCGTGCCGCGCCCTCTGCCCACGGTCACACACTGAATGCATTCCAGAGCAGGAAGCTGACCAGTTCTTTCTCCCACGCTGGTCTCCGATACCCTGTGAGGGCGGGGCAGCATCTTGCCATCACTGGGTCTTCTGCTGCTGAGTGTCTGGGCCATCAATCACTGCAGGTTTGGGAAATGAGTAAGGAGAAGTCTGGAGGCTGTATGCTGGAGCTACTGGGCAAGTGTCCTTTCTGAAATGCACAGGAGACGCTGGGCATTCCCTAGCGCGGCCTCTGTGGTCATTCCCTCCTCTGACAATGAAGTCTCCCGAGGGACTGGTGTGCGGGAGCCCGGTCTGCTCCTTCACTCCACTGGCTGGGGTCTTCTCCCAGGCCCATCCCCTCCTCCAGCTGCTGGGGACCCCGGGACCCACCTTCTGCCTTCTTTGTGTCGTGGACACTGAGGAGTCTCATCTCCCCTGGGGAGGCGTCCTGGTGTACAGTGTCACACAGGACTGCCTGGGGCTATGGGAACTTCAGCCACACAAGGGCAGGAGAGCAGGTGAACTCAGATGAACTGGCTCACCTAGTGTAGGACCAGGACCCACCCACCACGTGTGACATGACCGCTTTGAACAAACACATTCCAGATTCCAAACAACTGCATTACAAACAGCTACAAAGGCAGGTCTGGGAGGTGTGCTGGGGACGAGGGTGTAGGTGATAATGCAAAATCACGGGTACAGGCACAGGGTTGGGAGCAAGTGTGCACATGCATGGCAGTGGGAGAGTCTCACGGGTACGTGGGCGTCCTCAGAACAGGTGCCTGTGACACTGGCTGTCAGTGCATTGCCGGGTGCACAGGTAGCCAGAGCTGCCCTGGGGTCTGGTAGAAGTTCTTCCAAACACTTCAGCGAATTTGTCAGTTTTCTCTGACTATACAAATAATGCAATTTAATTACAGAAAACTGTAAATAAAATATAAGTAAATATTAAATAAATATAAATAAATATAAAATAAAATATACGAAACAATCAAGAGGCAAGTAAAAGTTACTGTACTCTCACTCCCCCAAGATAAACCAGTGACACTTTGTCGTACAAGGGGACTTCAAAGACATTTGCGGAAAAAATTGAATTAAAAGATAAGTTTATTTTGCTGCAAAAAGGTTGTGAAATCCAAGCCCAGGTTTTTCATAATATTCATTTTCCACGAACTTTTTGAAGATTCCACGTCGCCTTCCAGTCTTTGATCTGTACACATATTATATTCTGGAATTTTTTCAGAAAATTCTGTGAATATTACATAACCTTCTTTTTTGCATGTAATATACCTAGGCACTGCCCACGCCATCAAATGTTCTTTGAAAACATGATTGTGAATTTCTGTTTATACAAAGTCTATTTAACCAGGCTCCCACTATTCCATATTTAATGTGCCTTCGAAATTTTCACCATTGTAAACAATGCTTCAGTGGACTTTCTTCACAAAAGTCTTGAGGCACTTATTTCAGTATTTTTCCCAGGGTCAATTTCTGTAGAAATCCCTGGATCACAAAGAGTGTGAATTTTGTTCAAGTCTGCACCAGTCAGCCTCTCTGCCAGCATCCTCGGTGTTTATGGCACGGGCAGGTTCACCTCCATGTCTACACTCATCCCAAGGTTTTTGGTTTGGTTTGGTTTTCAGCTGGATTTTTTTTTAAGGTGACTTATTTTAAACTATCTTTCTTTGATCACTAGTTAAATGATTCTCATATAGTTGCTGACTATTTTTTTCTATTTCTACTAATTACCAATTCATATGTCTTGTCCCTTTTTCTATTTTGGTTACTCTCATTGTTCTTATTTTGTGTTTAAGATTATTTATTTATTATGTGTTTATTTGAAAGGCAGAGTGACAGCAAGAGAGGGAGAGACAGAGAGATCTTCCATCTGCTGGTTCACTCCCCTAGATGTGCAGAACAGCCAGGGCTGAGCCAGGCTGAGCCAGGAGCCAGGGGCTCCATCTGGGTCTCCCATATGAGTGGCAGAAAGCCAAGCCCTTGGGCCATCATCTGCTGGCTCCCAGACACAGGAGCGGGGAGCTGGATTAGAAGCAGCTCTGGGACTCAGTCCCCTGCCCTCCTGTGTGGGATGCGAGTGTCCGGGGCAGCAGCTTAACCAGCTGTGCCACAAGCCCCACTGCGTGCTTTTCTTACTGATTTGTGAGTGTTGTTTTGTGTTAGGGCTGATAACCATTTCCTATCAAGTGAGTGGCAAATATGTGCCAGTTCACGGCTTGCCTTTTGGTTCTGTTTTTCATTTGCCATAGTTTTTTTATGTCATGTGAAATTATGTTATTTGCATTTATGATTTTTGCCTTTACTTTTATGACTAGAAAGACAGATAAATATTTACCTTTCGTGGTTTGCCTTTTTTTTAATCTTTGATTCACTGAGACATTATGTGGGGATCTATGTGCTTTTGAAAGTGATGTCGTGCGATTCATGGGGAGTCCAGGTTAAAAGGAAGGTGCCTGGGAACTGGGTAAGACGCCTAGACCGTCGAGGGGAAGCCGGACTTGCCTGCTTCCCGCCAGTACATGCTGACCATTCACGCAAGCACATGCAACTTCCCCGCACACGCACGTGTGCACATACATTTTTATTTAGAATCTGGCATATAGTTTTGTAGATTCTTTAGCCATGGGATTATTGAGGCTTTCACATATCAGTGATTTTAACATATTAGTGTTTTTTGCTACTCATTTGTAATTATTCAGTCCTAGGATTTTAAATAGTTCTCTAAAATAGACATCTACATTTAATTTCTAGAATTATTATTTTCATGTTTGTATGCTGTAATCCCACTTATATATGTTAGGTCAAGAAAACTATAAAAACTAAACACATAGTCCCAATTTCTATGGATTTGCTGCTTTCTGTTAAAGACATTATCTGGCATTTTTTATAACATTTAACAAATTAGTTTATTACCAGATGTCAGCATATGCCTAACAAAAGTTATTTTAATAAACATTTAATTTTCCGTAATACATATTACAGCCAAGGCCTATGTAATGTATATAATTTCAGATTTGTTTAGTCCTACGGGATGTTTTCTATTGTGTCATTAAGTGAAAGTTCAAGAAGGTGTGAAATAATGTAAGGATGCTTACAGACATAAGCAAAGGGTCAGGGTATCTGTCCTCCAGTACACAGTAATTAATGTTTAATAACAAGGGATCCTTAATAACACGAAGTCCAAATCCATCCCCTATCCTCACTGAAAATGAGTCCCAGTTCACCATGGCCTTGTATACCCCTTGCTTCGTGCCTGCCGGTCACTGTGCAGAGCAGGCAGGGCTTGCCTGGTGTGCAGGACAGAAAGCCGAGGCCCTGGGAACCAGGGCCACCTTGCCGGACCTGAGCCTCCTAAGTAGTGCAGGACAGCGTTCAAGCCACCGTGCCCCATGCATGGATATGAGCTGCAGTACTCGCACTGGGGCCCACAGTGCTGTCGTCTAGCGGGGACCTCCTGGGTTCAAGGCCAGATCCCCATGAAGGAGGAGTCTGCTCGGGAGCTCTGCGTGTGTTGATCGGATGCCCGTGCCTTCTCCCCAGCATTTCCTTGTAGAGAAGGGCTGGGGTCAGGAGGACGGTCTCCCCCATTAGAAGTCACCGGAGCGCTCAGCCCTCCCAGGGCCTGGAGACTGTCCTTCTGTGACCCACGTCTGTCCCTTGGCACAGGCATCCTGGCGTCCCCACGTCCGTGTGCATGTGAGCGGGTGTGTGCAAGAGCCCGTGACTGCAGAGATAACAAATTATTCACTCCCTGTGGCCTCGGGGGGGCCCCCTGTCTGTTACAGGGGGGCTGCCCCCCCACACTAGCCCTGGACTTCTGCCCAGATTTCAAAGGGGCCCTGGTGCTGTCTTCCTCTCCCTTCCCCGCAGCTGACCAAAAAATAAAATAAAATGAAGTCAGCCCCATCCCACCGGCACCAGGAAAGAGGCTGACAGGAGGTCTGCACACTGGCGCTTATCAAAAGCTCCTTCTCAAATTCATTTCAATATCTGAGCCTCTGGTTTCCAAGGCAACATAATCTTTTCATCAAAGCAACTGGTAAAACCGCTGGGATCTGATATTGTTTTGTTGGCAACTTGTCAAAACTGTCATTTGGTTTGAAAAAATGTTATAGATTTCTATAACCTACAAATATATATGGTGATCTATACCACTAATAATCATTAATAAAGCGGTGCCCCGTAAAGCTCCCACGCTCCCTCTCCTGCCCCTCCCTCCCCGACGGGCTTGCTGCCCGAGGAATGGAGGAGTGGGTAATTAGACGGCAGGGCTGGGCGGCCACTCTGAGCGGGGACGGGCTGCGGAGCCTGGCCACAGCCCCAGTAAGGTGCGGACAGCAACTTGGCTGCTTTCCACAAACTCGTTCCTTTCTCATAGCTTACCTGGGACCCTCCCTCCCCCATTCTCCCTTCTCCTGGCCCCCTCCACCCCTCACCCAAAACACTCCTGGTCCCTGACCTGGAGCCACCGTCACCAGAGCTTGGGGCAGGCAAAGAGGTAAACTGAAGCTAGCCCAGCACCACCCAGAGGGTCACCTCCCAAGGGGCCAGGACAGTGCAAACCACTGCTCCAGCAAAGTGATGGAATCCTGCCTCCCACCCCACCCTTCCTTGGAGCCCCGGGCGCAGGGTTGAGTGGGGGCTGGAGGCCCCAGGGCCCAGGTTCCGCTTCCAAGGACCGCTTCGCTCTGCCCTGCAGGCTCCCAGCGAGTACGAGACGAGTCCCGAGCAGCTCTTCTACCGGATCGCCCACCTCAACCGAGGGCAGCAGTACCTGCTGTGGGTGGCCGCCGTCACCTCCGCCGGCCGGGGCAACAGCAGCGAGAAGGTCACCATCGAGCCCGCCAGCAAGGGTGAGAAGCCAGGCGGGGGCGGGGCTGCCACCAGACAGGGGCTGTCTGCCCTCCCCTGCCCCTGACCTGTGTGAGTCGCTGGCCTCTCGCCTCCGGCCTGCAGCCGCCAAGACTGGGCCTCTGCTGCCCCCTGACTCTGGGAGAGCCTCACAGCAGCCTGTAGCCAGCCCGCGCGTGCCCCCCACCCCGCGCTGCCCCACGCCAAACCCTCCGCTCGCACCTCCCACCCCGAAGTCGAGCCTACAGCCCCAGCGCTCAGCCCCTCCACTGGGGCCCGTGGGGGCTGCTCCAAAGATGCACCTCCACCCCCTGACCCCAGCGAAGCGCCCACAGCTCCAGGAGCCGCCCCTGGTGCAGCGCACACCATGAAGGCCTTCTGGACTGGAAGAAGCCCTTCCTGGGGCGTGACCCTGGAATCCCTGACCCGGACATAAATGTGGCACTGCGGTGCACCCCCACTTCTCAGAGACCTCCACCCAACACCAAGGCGGGGCAGGTGCTAGGCAGGGCCTCTGTCCCAAGCCTGAGACACAGGAACTGGTCCCACGAGCTCAGGACTTTGGGGTCTTGACTCTGGCCTCCTTCTGCTCCCCCAGCCAGCCACTGCTTACCCACCTGGCTCTAGCCCTGGGGTCCCAGGGCCTGGACAAGGCTAGGTGCTGCCCGCTCAGCCCGGCCCCCCTTCCTGGCTGGAGCTCCCCCGCTCAGACACTGCAGGCTCAGCGCCGGCACCCAGCAACGGGGCGGGGCTTGCCATCCCATGCCACAGCTGAGCAGTCCTGGGCAAGAGCGGCAGGGCCTTGGCGCCAAGGCAGGTGAGCAGTGCTGGGCTGGTTCTGGCTTCCACGTGACCTCGGTGTCTCTACTTCCTGCAGGGGCGCTACCACCTCTTCTCCAAAACTCACCTCTGTCAAGGTGGGGGGCTGTAGCCCTTGGTCCTCCTGGGACAGCTAGAGCCCCTTAGAGGCAAGGGTTCAAGGGCCTGAATGCCTTGCAGAGAGCAAGCCCCTGCCTCCGTGGTCATTAAATACAGCACATTCCTCCTGAGCTCTGTGCCTCCTAAAATTCAGTCACGCTTCGCCCCTCGCAGCTTCCCTGTGAGCAGAGACTGACACTGCTATCTCGTTCCCCAGCTGTCACACGCTCACACATGCGCACACACGTACTCATGCACACAGGCACATACATACACGTGTACCGTACACATATGTGCACATACATCATACATGCATATTCATGCACACATAGATAGGTATGCATAGCCATGCACACATGCACACACGTATATGCTCATATGCATGTACACAGTGTTCACACATGCGCACTCATGCTCATACACACGCATGCACACTATGTACACTCACGTAGTACACATGCACACATACACACGCTCATAACACGTGCATGCACCTATGCACGCTCACATAGATACATGCATTCATGCGTGTGCACGTGCACATGCACACTCCTGCACAGACTGATACAGACATGCACACCTGCCGACACACGCATTGAGACCCATGGGTGTCCAGGAGCCAACCCAGGGCCACAGCAGAGCTGGGCAGGAGCTGGGTCTCTGGAGAACTTGTGCTCTGCCGCTGTGGAGGACATCTCCACTCAGGCCCTGCTGTCCCGCTGCCCTGCTCAGCCGCTCGCCCATACCTTCCCTACCCACCATGAACCCCACAGCTGCCCCCCCCAGCACTGCCCTCCTGGAGACCAACCCAAGCCAACTTCCTGTCCCCAAACCCCTCAGCTGCCTCCCCAACCCCCAGACACCACCATGCAGCTCCAGAGCTCTTGCTGGCCCTCTGCGGCTCTAGGCTGCTCCACTCCTTCCCATCCAGGCTGGGCGATCTCTGAGACACCTTGCTGCTCAGTTCTCACCTGACTTAGTTCTCACCTCCCTTGGGGGCTCACTGGTGCCTCCGCATTATTGACCCTGGGTGCTGCCATGGCCCCGGCCGTCCATGTCCCCTCCTGCTAACAACCCCCAGCTCAGTGTCTCAGGCCCAGACATCTCTGTTACACCACAGAACATGCAGTCCCAGCTGCATTCTGGCTTCCCCGTGTGCTGGCCACAGGCAGCACGAAGGGGCATCTCCACCGCTCTCCTGCCAAACCCGTGCCTCATCTCCCTGAAGGCTCCAGCACCCGCACCCAGTCAGTCTGGCCACCCTCACCTCCCCTTCTCTTCCCCCATCCCTGTCCATCCCTGCCCTCCACCCTGAACCTCCTCCCCACTGCCATGCCTTGGGCCTGCGCTCTGGCCACGTCTGGTCACCCTCCAGGGTCGCCGCACAGCTAGGAGCTTATCTGGAATCCCTACTTGGCGCTTGGCGGGCGCTGCTTACGGATAAGCCTCCAGAGGCTTCCTCCCTCCTTGCTGTGCCGACGGAGCCCTCCATGACTCCACTGCCGCCCCTTGCCCACTCTGAGCTCTCGCCCTAAGTCCTTGCAAACCCTCACCCTCGCCGCTGTTGAGCCCTCTGCCCTTCCTCAGTCTGTTCCCTCTGCCTGGCCTGCCTCTCCTCCTCTGCTCAGTGAGTCGCCTCCCAGCCTTCAGGTCAGCACCTCCAGTTCCAGCAGCCGTCCCCAGCCACCACCCACCACCCCCTTAGCCGGCTCCCCGACTCCCTGGCCCTGCCCTGCCGGGGTGCTCCGCACCCTGTCTCCTCCTTGGACCATGAGCACCTCGAGTGCAGAGGCTAGATCGCCCTCATTTTATGACTCCTCCGAGCCTCACCCACACTGCTGAACCAGTGACCCCAGCCGGGATTCCCTGACTTCCTCCCCCGACCCCGAGGTAGAGGTAGGGCTGGGGAGGGAGGGCTTGATCTGCGGAGCCCTGAGAAAGAGGGGGCAGGGCAGCGTCGAGAGGCAGCAGTGGCAGAGCCATCATCCTCTCCCCTCTGCAGCCCCAGCAAAGATCATCTCTTTCGGGGGCACGGTGACGACACCCTGGATGAAGGACGTGCGGCTGCCTTGCAATTCGGTGGGGGATCCAGCCCCTGCTGTGAAGTGGACCAAGGACAGGTGTGTGGCAGGCCCTGGAGGAGAGTTGGGGGTGTCCCCCGGTCCTGCTGACTGTGGGAACCCTGCGGGGTGCATGGCTGCTGCTCTCCCAGCAGGCCCGGCCTCCCTGGCTCCTCTCTGGTGGGAGCCAAGAGCCAAGGTTACTGGAGACACCACCCCCCAGGAAGTGCTGGGTAAAATCCCCAAGAACGCAGGGTGCCCCTGGGAGGCCTCCGGCGCACAGCGCTCTCTGCCTGCAGACCCGAGGGCCCCGAGACGGGGAGGGGCTTGCCATAACCCACCCACCCTCTCGCCCTGGCAGTGAAGACTCTGCCATCCCCGTGGCCATGGACGGCCACCGGCTCATCCACACCAATGGCACCCTGCTGCTGCGTGCCGTGAAAGCCGAGGACTCGGGCTACTACACCTGCACCGCCACCAACACCGGCGGCTTCGACACCATCATCGTCAACCTTCTGGTACAAGGTGAGACCTGTGGGGTGGGCGGGCGGGCTCTGGGGGGGACAGGACCTGAGAAGGGGCAGGGGCTCCATCACGTGGGAGAGAGGGTTACTGAAAGACAAGCCCAGGGGTGGGGACTGGGGGGCGGGGGACTGGCCTTGTCAGAACAGGTGCGCCGGTCAGACGAGGCAGCAGGAGGGTGGGGTGCAGGATCGCTGAAAGCATTTCAGAGCTGGCCCCCTCCCGCGTGCCTCCATGCCCCTCCCCACCCTCCCGGCACCCGGGTTCACCCTCTGCTGAGGGCTGGTGGCTTCCTCCTCACAGTTCCCCCAGACCAGCCCCGCCTCACTGTCTCCAAAACCTCCGCTTCGTCCATCACCCTGACCTGGATCCCAGGTGACAATGGGGGCAGCTCCATCCGAGGTAAGCAGGAGTCCAGGTGAGGAGGGGAAGGAATTCTAGGCCCCAGGGCAAGGGAAGGGCTTTCCTCACTCCCACTCTGATCCCCATCAGATCCAGGGAATTGGGGGGGGGGGATTCGGACTGCCAGGAGGTTAGCACTCAGAGCCACAGAAAGGGCGCTTGCCTGGGCATGTGGGCTGCAGCACGCCCGCCCCCTCGCCACCTGGGAGCTGTGAAGTTGGCTTTCCTCTGTGGGTCTCGGTTTCCCAATCTGTCAAATACACGGCTGATCAGTGCCCCACAAACCTGAATGTGCGCATGAACCCCGAGCATCTTACAAATTCAGATCCTGAGTCAGTAAGGCCTGGGGGGCCAGAGTAGTGGCCAGGAATCTGCATTTCTTGTGGACTCCCAGGTGATGCTGCTGCTGCTGGCCGGGCCCACATGTGGAGCTCTAAGGGTCTACACGGGACCCTCTGAAGCCTCACCTCTCTGGTTTTCTGCCCCACCTTGGCTACTGAACCCTAGCACTAAAGCAAGAGAAAACAAAACCCGGCCAGGGGCTGGACCTAAGGTCCTTGCACTCTGGTGTCTAACTTGCATATGCCCCTCCCCATGACTGTGCCTGTGGGGGTCTCCTGGGCTGGGCTTCCGCCCCTCGCCCTGCCCCCAGCTGAGCCAGGCAAACCCCCCACCCCGGGCAGGCTTTGTGCTGCAGTACTCGGTGGACAACAGCGAGGAGTGGAAGGACGTGCTCATCAGCTCCAGTGAGCGCTCCTTCAAGCTGGACAGCCTCAAGTGTGGCACATGGTACAAGGTGAAGCTGGCGGCCAAGAACAGCGTGGGCTCCGGACGCATCAGCGAGATCATCGAGGCCAAGACCCACGGGCGGGGTGAGGCTCGGGTGGGGGAGGCAGGAGGATGGAGGAGCCCAGACCGAGGGAGGGGAGACGGCCAGGATAGGGACGCAGGGAGATGGAGGGCGGAGACCCCACCTCGGTCCCACCACTAGAGCACCTTGAGAATGGAACCGGCACCGTGGGGCAGTTCTGGTCCCATTCATCTGCAAGGGTGGCCCAGGGTGGCCCCCTTCCTCCCCATCTCTCTCCCTGCACTCTGAGGCCTCCCTCCAGGTCCCAGCTTCTCCTCCCTCTGCTCCCTAGGGCATCCCCACCCCAAAGTTGTGCCAAACACTGGTCCCCAGGACCCTGACAGCCCCATCTGCCCCAGGGCAATGCTCTCCTGCCCTGGGCCTCTCTAACCTCTCTCTCTCCCTCTGCACCACCCCCACCCCCTAGAACCTTCCTTCAGCAAAGATCAGCACCTCTTCACCCACATCAACTCCACACATGCTCGGCTCAACCTGCAGGGCTGGAGCAACGGGGGCTGCCCCATCACAGCCATCGTCCTGGAGTACCGGCCCAAAGGGACCTGGGCCTGGCAGGGCCTCCGGGCCAACAGCTCCGGGGAGGTGTTCCTCACCGAACTGCGAGAGGCCACGTGGTACGAGCTGCGCATGCGGGCTTGCAACAGCGCTGGCTGCGGCAACGAGACTGCTCAGTTCGCCACCCTGGACTACGATGGCAGTGAGTCCGTCCGAGAGGGTGGGAGGGGGGCTGTGCCGAGGCAGGAGCAGGTGGTGCCGGGGAAGCTGGTGGAGAGGGAGACACAGGAAGAGACAGACCAGTAAGAAGTCTGCGGGACAGCTGGCAGACAGAGGAAGGGGCAGGCGAAGGGGGCAGCAGACCGGCAGCAGGCAGGTAAGTGGGCAGACAAAGGCCAGTGCCACAGAAGATGGAGTTTCTGCTGCTTCCGGGAGATGGGCGGGGAAGCAGGTTGTGACGTATTGAGGTCCCGCCTCTAAGAACTCTGCTGATGCAGCAGATTAGCCAGGAAGTAACAGCCTTGGCGTCAGTGCCGTGGTGCAGCAGGTGCAGCCGCCACCATATGGGCTCCAGTTCAGGTCCCGACTTCTCCACTTCCAGTACAGCTCCCTGCTAATGGCCTGGAAAAGCAACAGAAATGGCCCAAGTATTTGGGCCCCTGCCACCCACGTGGGAGATAAGGAGGAAGCTACTGGTTTCCGGTTTCAGCCAGGCCCAGCCACGCTATTTGCAGCTATTTGGGAGAATGAACCAGCAGATAGAGGATCTCTCTCTCTCTCTCTCTCTCTCTGCCTTTTAAATAAATAAATAATCTTTTTTAAATATTTAAACAAGAAGTGATAGCCTGTGCTGCAAGAGTAGACACTGAAAGCTTGGGGGCTTAGCCCACTAAAGATGTGTTTCTTGCTCTCATGGAGGCCTGTGACGCTTCGCTGGCCATCATTTTTAGCTACGCCCTCGAATGTGGAGCCTCCAACGTCACCAAAAGGCACATGGGATCCCTGGTGAGAAGGTGGAGCTTACCACTCTGTTCACACCCTGTTGCCCAAACTCATCACATGGCTCTAATCTGACTGCAAGGAAGTTTGGAAAGGTGGCCAAGCACATGGGCATCTGGCGAGCTCGTCACAGGTGTCTGCCTCTTAGAGCTACTTCCACACTGCACACACACACACACACACACAGGCATGCACATTCCACAGATATGCCAAAGGAACCTAGAAGGCCGAATTCACAGGGGCTGTGGTCCCAAGGTAAACCAAGTCCAGTGGGTGGTCAGGAAACAGGATAAAGGCTGCATTGGAAGCAGATGGGCTCAGACAAGGAAGGCTTCCTGAATGCTGTGACTTTTTTAAAAAAAAGATTTATTTATTTGAAAGGTGGAGTTACAGAGAGGCAGAGAGAGAGAAAGAGAGAGAGAGAGAGAGAGAGAGAGAGGTTTTCCATCCACTGGTTCACTCCCCAAATGGTTGCAATGGCTGGAGCTGGGCCGACCCCAAGCCAGGCAGTGACCTTGAAGCATAGTCTGGGCTTGGCAGAGGGTTCTGTGGGCAGGAAAGTATCACTGAGCAGGCCCTGCAGGCACTCAAGGTTAGCAGATACTGCCTGGGGAGGGAAGAGCAGAGAGAGAGCAGAGTCCTTAGTGGGTTTTGTCCCCACCTAGGGAAGAGAACCCAGGATCCCACTGCCAACTTCTTTCTATTATGCTTCTCCCTGCATTCCCCCAAACTCTGGCTAGGGGTGGAAATTTAAGCCCCTCAACCCACCCCCTGAGAATGAGCCCTGACACCGCCAGGCAGGAGACTCCGTGTCAGAGACCTGAGAATAAGTCGGAAACAAAACCAGGAAGTGTACAATGCAGTGTAAAAACTGCACAGCTGCTCGCGGCTGTTCTGATGGGACCAGAATTGAGGGGAGCAGAGGGCTCAGTGGCCCTCTGAGTGCTCTGTGCCGGGAGGTGGAGACCAGAGACCGAAGTCAGAGGGCTAGGGCTCTGCACGGCACCTGGCTCACAGGGGCACCTGCTCTCCTTCTTGCCCTCGCTCAGGCACCATCCCGCCCATCAAATCTGCTCAAGGAGAAGGGGATGACGTGAAGAAGCTCTTCACCATCGGCTGCCCCGTCATCCTGGCCACGCTGGGGGTGGCCCTGCTCTTCATCGTGCGCAAGAAGAGGAAGGAGAAGCGACTGAAGCGGCTCCGAGGTGGGGGGCTTTCCCATGGGCTCTCAGAGGGGGCGGTGCTGACTCTCAGGCGCACTGGCCACCCTGCCCTAGCCCACAGCAAGACAGTGCCTGTGTGCCCTTGACGGAAGAGCTGCCCTCCAGCCTCCTGAAACCGCCGTAGCTGATCACTGCTTCCTCCCCTAGGCCCCAGGTCTCTGTGCCTGCCCCAGCCAGAGCTGACAGGTAGAGGGACACACTGGCAAAGCCATGCTGGCGGTTAAAACACTCAAACTTTGCATGGTGGCAAATAGACATTCCTCTCTTCCAGCTTGGCTGCACTCACACGGGATTCTTGGGACCGTCCACTAGGGAGTAGGACTTCAGCTGGTCTCTAGGATGCTGCTTGCTTCTGACTGGGAAGTTTTCATGCCGTGTTGAGTGTTAAATATCTTGAATATCGTCCCCTTTTTTCTAATACCCGATATCATAGTTTGATACCTCAGTTTTCCCAAGGACTAATGTACAGTATCTGGCACCTACAAGTTGCTTCACAAATGTTTGTTCACTCATTTTGAAAACATTTATTGAGTTTGCTGCATCATAGATACTGCCAGACATTAGAAATATGGCATATAAATGAAGAAGGAGACTTCCCACACCCATATAGAATTCACAGGCAGATGTGAGAATTCAGAGGACAGTAGTAGCATGGAAGAGGGAATGACTGATGCTCTCTAGATATTCAGGGATTTGGTGGCCAGATGAATGGATGGTTGAATGGTTGATGGATGGCTAGATAGGCGAATGATTGTATGAATGATTAGATGGATAAATAAACAGGTGAGGCCAGCGCCGCAGCTCAATAGGCTAATCCTCTGCCTGCAGCGCCGGCACCCCGGGTTCTAGTCCCGGTTGGAGTGCTGGCTTCTGTCCCAGTTGCTCCTCTTCCAGTCCAGCTCTCTGCTGTGGCCCGGGGGTGCAGTGGAGGATGTCCCAGGTTCTTGGGCCCTGCGCCTGCATGGGAGACCGGGATGGGGCACCTGGCTCCTGGCTTCAGATCGGCACAGCGCGCTGGCTGCAATGCACCAGCCATGGCAGCCACTTGGCGGGTGAACCAACAGAAAAAAAGGAAGACCTTTCTCTCTGTCTCTCTATCACTATCTAACTTTGCCTGTCAAAAAATAAATAAATAAATAGGTGAATGACTAGATAGATGATCTGATGACTGGATGGATGAGTGGTTAGATGGTTGGATGATTGAATAGATAGTTGAATGTAAAAATATACAAATGGAAGGATGGATGGATAGATGGATGGACAGATGGCGGATAGGTAGATGAGTTGATGGACAGTCGGGTGACTGTACAGATGAGTGGTTATATGGTTGGATAGATGGTTAGATGGTTGAGTGAATCAATTAATACATAGTTGGGTGGAAGGGTATTTAGGTAGAAGGATGGCTGGATGAATAAGATGAATGGTTGGATTAAAGGTTTCATAGATAGATGGTTGGATGGATAAGTAGATGTTTGAATGAATAGATTGATTATTTATATATGTATATGATTATATGAACAGCTGTATAGATGGGTTGATAATTGGGTGGATGGATGAATGGATGGAAGGATATTTTCATGGATAAAGGGATGATAAGATGGACATATGGTTGTATGGTTAACTAAAAGAAGAGTTGAAATGGTGGGATTGGGTGAATGGTTGGATGGTGGTATGGATACTTGGAGGGAGGTTGAATATATAAATTAAAGGATGGTGGGATGAATATTAATGCAAGGTTGACTTGATGGGAGGATGGTTGGATGGATGATCAGATGGATGGATTGATGGTTGGACTGACAGGTGGATAGATAGATAGATGAACAGGTGAATGATAAATGAATGGTTGGATGGATTAATGGCTGCTTGGGTGGACAAATGGTTAAATGGATGCGTGGGTGGATGGTGGGATGAGCAGGTAGATGGATTGATGAATTAATGAATGGATGAATGGTGCATGAATGATTGGATAGATGGGTGGATGGATTGTTAGATGACTAGAGGGTTAGATGCATACAATATAATTCATTCTGACAGATAATTTTTGGTTACTATGGATATAATGGATTAACTGCCCTTTGAGTCTCCTCTCATCTTAATTCCTCACTCAAGAATTCTGATCCTCTTGTTTAAGCCCGCTATGAGACAACACAAGGACCCCCAAGTGCGTCCATGGATGTGTGGGGGACAGATGCTCTGAAGCCTCCTGGCTGATGTGAGAGTTTGGTTGTCCAGGACTTCTCGTTGGCCATCTCTGCTTCACCCTCTGCTGCCTCCTCTCCCCAGCAGTCAACTGGGTGATGCCTGTTTGCAGCCTGCTGTGGCGTCTTGTTCAATTAGTCAACTCACAAAGCAGGAGGAGCAGTTTGAAGCCCCCTCTCCTTTGTAAAGAACCTCCTCATTTGATTAAAATCTGAGGAGAAGAAACAGAGCTGGATTCAATCCTGTATGGAAACAATGAGACCTGTGCAAGTTTTGGGCTATTCTGTAGATCCTATGGGACTCCCTCTGCTTCTCAGGAGACAAGCGCTGGTCCCATTCTAGGGAATTCTCCCTTCTCGTTCCCGCGCCTTTCCCAATCAGCGTCCTGTTCAAACCCGCTCTCACCCAGGACCCCCTCTCTTTCTACTGTTTTGCAGATGCAAAGAGTTTGGCAGAAATGTTGATAAGGTGAGTCACATGGCTGCTTCCTCTGTCCTCCCCTCCCTCTTCTCCCCTGCAGGGGACACAGGAGCCTCGCTGTGTACTCCCAGAGTAGGAGAGGAGCTGCTAAGACCCCCTGTCCTGCAAAGCCCCCTCCCCCAGTCCCTTACGGCTGCTGAGCCACCCACCTCCAGTCCTTCTCCCCACAGCAAGAACAACCGCAGCTTTGACACCCCCGTGAAAGGGCCGCCGCAGGGCCCGCGGCTGCACATTGACATCCCCAGGGTGCAGCTGCTCATCGAGGACAAGGAGGGCATCAAGCAGCTGGGTGAGTGGCGGTGTCCCGGCTGGCTGCCCTGTGCTGTGTGTGCCTCTCTGGGCCACAAGCCCGGGGAGGGAGGGGACCACCAGCCTTGTGGCAGTGCCCAGGGTCCCAGCCACAGCCCCATCAAGGACTCCCCAACCTTGGAACTCATCGCAGCTGCTCTCAAGAGCTAACTTTCTTCCTCTATACGATGGGCCTCAACATGGGCTAAAAGACAAACAGAAGTTTGCAGAACGTGCCCGATGATTGTCCTTTCTCCCCAGGAGACGACAAGGCCACCATCCCCGTGACGGATGCTGAGTTCAGCCAAGCTGTCAACCCCCAGAGCTTCTGCACCGGGGTCTCCTTGCATCACCCAGCCCTCATCCAGAGTACGGGCCCCCTCATCGACATGTCTGACATCCGGCCAGGAACCAGTACGCATCATCCGTAGGGAGACAGCCGCGCTCTTCCACAGGGTGTCTTGGGCCCGGCGTGGGGCGGCGGTGATGTTTAACAGGGGAGGGGAAGACGGGGGCGGGCTGGGACGGCATGGAAAGAGCGCTGGAGTTGCATGAGGCACTCTGGAGAGCTGGCGTGCGGGCTCACGGGCCGGGACTGGGCGCATCCCTGAGCTCACCGCTCTGGGCCTCCATCTCCTTACCCAGCAGGCTCGGGGCCTTGGGCATCCCTGCTCCCCGAGGGTCTTTGTTTCGAGCACTGGGACTGGAGATGGAAGGGGGCCTGCACGCAGGGCTGTGGCGAGTGATGAACGGTCAGGAAGCAGGAGGGGGCATCACACCCTTCTGCGGGAGGAAGGAGACCGCGGGGGCGGAGGGGTGCAGGACCAGGACGCTGACCGCTGCCCCCACCCCTGCACTCTGCTGTTCCCCTCCTCTGGGGCCAGACACATGGTCAGGGAAAGGCAGTGTGGTCAGCGTGTTCACAGGAGCTTCCGGGGCTGCTTCTGCCTCCCCTTTGCCTCCCAGGACCCTCTGTGACACGTGCCAGCTGCTGCGCTGTGTGCCCCGGGTGGGCGGTGCTATCTCTCTCTCTCCTCCCCACCCCCCGTGCAGATCCAGTGTCCAGAAAGAACGTGAAGTCAGCCCACAGCACCCGCAACCGCTACTCAAGCCAGTGGACCCTGACCAAGTGCCAGGCCTCCACGCCGGCCCGCACCCTCACCTCCGACTGGCGCACCGTGGGCTCCCAGCATGGTGTCACTGTCACCGAGAGTGACAGCTACAGTGCCAGCCTGTCCCAGGACACAGGTGTGCCTGGGGCCCTGCCCGCATCCTGCCCACCCTCCTCTGCTTCCCCATCTCCCCTCCCCACTTTCCTTGCTGAACCCCAACCCACCAGATCGCAGGGTCCAGAGCACCAATCACTCCTAGCTGGCCACCGACCCACGGTGTGGCCGGGACAAAAGCAGCTGACTTCCTTCAGCTCTGCTTGGTCAAGGATTTCATTTTGTTTCCCCCTCCCCAAAAAACAATTGTCAGAGAAAGCAAGACATTTGTTGGAGAGTGGGCTGAGCATCCCAGGGAGTGGTGTTTATTTTCTTTTTTTGAAACAATATTTACTTATTTATTATTTAAAAGGCAGAGAGAGAGAGCTCTTCCATCTGCTGGTTCATTCCCCAAATGTCTGTGACAGTGGGGCTAGGCTGGGCCAAAGCCAGGAGCCTGGAACTCCATCCAGGTCTCTCACGTGGGCAGCAGGGGATCCAAGTACATGAGCCATCAGCACTACCTCCTGGAGTCGCATTAGCAGAAAGCTGGAAGCCAGAGAGGATGCGGGTCTGGAACCCCAGCACTCCAACATGGGATGCGGGTCGGGTGTCCCAAGCAGCAGCTGCTGCCCCCAACACCTAACCGCTGGTGCTGACTTTCCAGACAGCTGGATGCACCTCCTGTTGCTAACCAAGCATCTCACTCCTGCCAGCACTGCTGCCCTTCCAGGAGGAGAGCAGGCTCTCTGAGCCTCGTCTCCCCCGGGCCCAGGCTCCCACAGTTGTGGGATTAGGCACGGGGGCGGTGCTCAGCCGGGTCTCCCCTGGACCCACTCCTTGCCCCCAAACCCCACTGCTTCTGTGTCTGCAGACAAAGGACGCAACAGCATGGTGTCCACTGAGAGCGCCTCTTCCACCTACGAGGAGCTGGCGCGGGCCTACGAGCATGCCAAGCTGGAGGAGCAGCTGCAGCACGCCAAGTTCGAGATCACGGAGTGCTTCATCTCGGACAGCTCCTCCGACCAGATGACCACGGGCACCAACGAGAACGCCGACAGCATGACGTCCATGAGCACGCCCTCGGAGCCCGGCATCTGTCGGTTTACCGCCTCCCCACCCAAGCCCCAGGATGCCGACCGAGGCAAAAACGTGGCTGTGCCCATCCCACACCGGGCCAACAAGAGTGAGTGCCAGGCCCACCGCCCGTGCGGGGTCCCCTGAGCCTCCGTCACGTGGTCCCTGGCTGGATTTCTGGATCCTGCCAGCCCAGCAGGGCTCGCTGGCAGCACAGGGTCCAGCAGAGAGCAAGGACTCGGGAGCGGGCAGACCCGGGCATACATCCAGGCGCCGCCTCCCTAATGTCCCTGTGGCCTTGGGCGAGTTGTCTAACCTCTTGGGGCTTAATCTCCTCATCTGTAAACTGCAGTGGTGGAATCCGCTTTGCGTTGGCAGGATGGGCATCGGAAATGATGGACACGTCTGACGCACAGTGGGTCTCACTGCACAGCAATCATTCCCTTACGTCTGAAGCTGTGCCAGGCTGGGGAGGCCCCATGGGGTCAGCTGCCCAGTGGCTGCTGCTCTCAGTGCCCAAAGGCACAACCTTGGCAGCTCAGCTCGCAGAGGTCGCATCTCACAGTGGGCAGCGACAAGGCCTGCCAGGAGCCAGCACCTCCAGGGGCTGGCAGAGCACACGGCCCTGGTGGCCAGCAGAGCAGGTCTAGGGTTCCCAGCAGGCGTCGATCCACAGACACTGGGGTCGCAGCACGCATGGCCCAGACCACATGGAGTCTGGTGCGAGCGGCCACATGAATGAGGCAGGGCACAGGGAAGCACTGGGCCACGTGACAAGGGTCCAGAGTGGTGGAAAATACCAGAACGCCAGAGACCAGTGGCCCAGACAGGGGGGCTGTGCGAGAGTTAAATGAGACAGACAAGCCCACTCAGCACGGGCTCGCTCACAGCAGGGTCAGGATGCAGAGGTGCTGGGGTCAGATGGGGCAAGGAAGAGCTCGGGACACACAGTTGCCTTCTCCACCCGGAGGTGGAGGGGGGCGGGGCCTCCCTCAGAGCGCAGAATCAGACTGGCTGGGGTCAGAAAAGCTGCTGGAAGTCCGTCTTCAGCCCTTGTCTTTGCGTGAGGCTGAGCAGCCTGTAGTGACAGTAGACACCAATTCATATTTTTTATGATTTATTTATTTGAAAGGCAGAGTGACAGAGAGGGAGAGACAGCGAAAGAGATTTTCCATCAGTTGGCCACTCCTTAAATGGCCGCCAAAGGCCGGAGCTGGGCCAGGCTGAAGCCAGGAGCCAGGAATTCTCTCCTGACCGCCAACGTGGGTGGCAGGGACCCAAGCACTTGGGCCGTCTTCCCAGGTGCATTAGCAGGGAGCTGGATCTGAAGCTGAGCAGCCGGGACTCAAATCGGCACCCCATTATGGGATGTCGGGTTTAACCCACTGGGCCACCACGCCGGCCCGAGCACCTACTGAGTGTGCCGGCCCTGCACTGGTGCACTTGGCACACCTGTCACTCACGGCACTCACAGCTCACGACGGCCCTGAGGGGAAATAGGACATTCGCACCTCACAGAGGAGAAAACCAAGGCTGAGCGAGGGCAAGGCTTTGGCGGGGGTGGGGCTCCGCGGGCCGTGGCCCTAACGTCCTGTGCTCCTGTGGTTCCAGGTGACTACTGCAACCTGCCGCTGTACGCCAAGTCCGAGGCCTTCTTCCGGAAGGCAGACGGGCGGGAGCCCTGCCCCGTGGTCCCGCCCCGCGAGGCCTCCATCCGCAACCTGGCTCGGACCTACCACGCCCAGGCTCGCCACCTGACCCTGGACCCTGCCAGCAAGCCCTTGGGCCTCCCGCACGCGGGGGCCCCCGCTGCCGCCTCCACAGCCACCTTACCTCAGAGGACTCTGGCCATGCCCGCCCCCCCGGCCGGCACGGCGCCCCCCGCCCCCGGCCCCGCCCCGGCCGAGCCCCCCGCCGTCCCCAGTGCGGCCCCGCCAGCCCCCAGCTCTGAGCCTCCACGGCCCGGGGGTCCACACACCAAAATGGGGGGCTCCAGGGACTCACTCCTCGAGATGAGCGCTTCGGGGGTAGGGCGCTCGCAGAAGCAGGGGGCGGGGGCCTACTCCAAATCCTACACCCTGGTGTAGGGGTCCCGCGACGAGAGCCGCCCCAGCCGGACTCTGCGCACCCCCGCAGCCGTCTTGCCGTGTCATTTATGCTGAACTGACAGACACCAACCTACCGGCGGCAGAAGGCACCCCCAAGTCGCGGACGCCTGTACATGGAACTCTTTTGTACAAATGAAGCTATTTTCTTCTTCTCCATGGAGCCAGGGCACAGAATTTGACCCACCCCATCACACCCCGCCCCCCGAATCCGGGCCGAGAGATATAGGCAGATATAGAGACGGACGGCTATATCGCTATATATTTCTCCCACCTCCTTTTGAGACAGAGGCACAAAGACTCGGCAATCTTCGCCCTCCTACTCACCCCCTCCCGTCCCGGCCGTTTTGGCAAAAACCGGACTCCCAGCTCAGAGACACTGCATGCGATTTTACTGTTCCCAGAAAACCAGGAGTTGCTTCGATTTGCAGATGCTTATGTGTTAATACCTTTTTCTATGAAAAAAGACCGAGCGCCGTGTGCAATAAAGGTTATGTTTCTACGTCGTGGCTTTTCTCCGGGTGGCGAGGGCCAGTGGGGAGGGAGCAGAGGCCGCTGTACCCCAAGCCGGCCGCCTCTCACGGGGGTGGGGGAGACCCAGTGAGGGGCACTGGGCGCTCCAGCCAGCCAAAGTGCATCTGTTACCCCCCACCACCATTCTGCTCTGCTCCTAGATCTGACCCAGGCCCTAAGGGGGCACCCATGCTGTAGCTTTCGGCCAGCACCTCAGCCCCACTGAGCCCTGGCTCCCTTCCCTGTGAGTGGAAGGAGGTTTGTGGCTGGGGTAGGAGACAGCCTTGGGGAGAGTGTGGAGGAGCCTGGACGGCGCAGCAGGTGGCAGCCCCCCCCGGGGGGGGGGCTATGCAAAACCCCTTGCTCACAGCCACCAGCTACCCAGCTACAGGAGAGGCACTTACAAACTGGGAGCCAGAGGAGCTCGGGGCCTGAGGTTCTGAGCTGTTCGGGCAAGCTGAGGGCGGAGGGAGATGTTCTCAGAGACAGGAGGTGGAAAGAGCCCATGTGGAGGAGGGGGAGGGGAGCTCTGCCAAAGAGACCAGCCGGCACCCCTGGGACCTCACCTGGCTTCCAAGGTGTCGGCAAGTAGACTCCCAGGGAAGGGAGCGTCAGCCTGCAGCGACAGGAGGGGCTTCGGCGTGCACCTGTAAGGAGGGGCAGGTGGGCTGGGCCACCAAGGACACAAGGCTTGGGAGACTGGACGGCAGAGGGCAGGAGACTATAAAAGCTCAGGGTGTGAAATCCATGGTCTGGAGGGGGACATCTCCCTTCGTCAAAGGAAGTGCACCCAAGAAACAAAAGGAAGCCTCTGAGCTGAATACACCAAGGCGAGGCTTGGGGAAGCGGTTGGAAGGTGAGTCCCTTTCCCCTGGGAGTGCAGGGACTGGAAGTGCTGCGGAGTGGGGGAGGGGAGGGAGGAGAGGAGGGAGGTGTCTGTGCAGCCCAGTCCCAGGAGGTCATGTCCACAGACTGCGCCTTGTGGACCCGACCTGGGATGTGTGATCTTTAATAGCAGCACCTCCAAACAGGAACTCTGGCCACCCGACGTGAGTGTGCAGGATGCGTGAATCACGCCAGGTAAGGAACGGCAGCACCCTCGGAACAGAGGGCCAGAGATTCTGTGCTCCACCGTGATTCCAAGGCTGGGGGCAAATTCTCATCCCAGACCCCACACTCAGGCCCTACTCCGGACAGTCAGCTGAGGGCATCAGTAAGAACGGTGCCTGGTGACAACTCAGCTTCCCACCTTCTCCGGGAGGACGCGGCGCCTCCCAGGACCACGCACGCCATCTGCAGGTCGCCTTCAGAACTGCCAGCAGATTTGCCTGGGACCAGACTGAGTGCCCCCACACCCACTCCCCTGCACACAGGACACTGACAACAAACGCAAATGGGACCCAGCTCCAACCAGCGCCTGAGAACGAGCAGCTCCTCAGAGGTTCAGGTGGGCACCTGCCCGAGGGCAGCAAAGGGGCCGCCCTGCCATGAAAGGGCAATGCCGAGCCCGCCCTGGGTGCCAGGTGCTGAGTGGACACGCTCCTCACGCTGTCTCACGCAGCCCCACTGCAGATTCCGGAGAAAGCTAGAGCTTCCAGGAGCTAAGTAACTTACCTGAGGTCAGAAAAGCAAGAGGGGAGGGCGCTCAGCCTAGTCGTTAAGACACCCACGCCCATATTGGAGCATCTGTGTTCCCTCCCAGCTCCAGCTCCTGACTCCAGCTTCCTGCTAACGCAGACAGCAGAGGCAGCAGTGACGGCTCAGGAATTGAGTTCCGGCCACCTGTATGGGAGGGTTGGGTTGCATCCCAGCTCCCAGCTTCAGCCTGGTCCAGCCCCAGCTGTCGTGAGCACCCGGGGAGTGAACCAGCAGTTGGGAGCTCGTCTTTGCTGTCCCTCGGCCTTTCAAATAAATACTTTAAAAAAAATTTTTTAGAAGAAAAACAAGGGGACAGTATTGTGGTGCAGTGGGTTAAGCCACCGCTTGCAACACCAGCGTCCCATATCAGAGCGCTATGCAAGTCCTGGCTGGCTACTCTGCTTCCAATTCAGCCTCTGGCTAATGTGCCTGTGAAGGCAGCAGAAGACAGCCCAAGTACCTGGGCCCTCACCACACACAGACGGGGCCCGAATGGAGCTCCTGGCCCGTGGCTTCAGCTTGCCCAGCTCTGGCTGCTGTAGTCATTTGGGAATGAACAAGCGGGTAGAAAATATCTCTCTCTCTCTCTCTCTCTCTCTCTCTTCCATTCAGATAAATAAATCTTTCTAACAATAAAACAGAAAAACAAGAAAGGTCGGAGATGAGGTTTAAATCCACGTGTCTGGCTCCCTGACCACTGGGCCATACTACCTGCCAATCAAAGTCGGGGTTCCAGTTCTTCCCTAAAGATGTTGCCAGGTGAAGCTCCCACCGGGTGCAGGTGAGCGAGCCGGACTCCCGGGCAGGTGAGCAGCTGATGCAGGCTCATCAGTAACCGGTTCCGGCAGAGGCACCAATAGGAAGCACCGGGCAGGGGGAGGCAGGGGCTCAGGTGCACTTCCCTCGGCGAGGGTGCTGGTCGGGGGGATTCAGCTCTGGGGGGGATGGCACTGTGAGAGGAGGCCTGGCCATGGGGAGGACGGCGTGGGGAGAGGAGGATTGGGAGAAGCGGCAGAGAAGTGAAGCACGGGCTGCTTTAACCTGTGTTCCACTGAGTCGGGCTCCCTCGTAACGCGCAGGCCTGCAAATGCAGACGGATGTGTGCAAAGCCCCCCAGTCCTCATTTGCTAATAATCTAACCTCGATGTGTTCTTGCACTAAACCACAGCCTGCCGTCTTTATTTTAATGATATCTGGGGTGGGGCCTTTGGAGGGTATCAGGGTTAGATGAGGCCATGACGGCGCTGGTGGCCTCCTGAGAGGAGGGGCCTGCGCTGGCACGCGGTGCCTGCTGCCGTGTTGTGATGCAGCCAGGAGGCCCTCGGAGACGCCACGCAGGTGACGGCACCACGTTCTCACGCCCCAGCCTCCAACACGGCGAGCCAAATCAACATCTATTTTTTTGATAAATGACAGAGTCTTGTGTATTCTCTTACAGCAACAGAAAATGGACAGACACCTGCTGATGAAGAACTCATCTCTCCCCAAGCCGGCGTGTTTCACCAGTGGGCAGTGCAGCCAGCCAAGACCCTGTTGCACCAAGCTTGGTTGTCCCTTCTCACTTGCTCCCAAAAGGCTCCAGGACACCCCTTCTTGCCTCCCTGCCCCACCAGGGCCGCCCTCCACACATGGCATTGAACATGGCATCGCTCTTAGGGGACAGGATCCCCACGGGCAGAGAACGGTTCTGTTCCTTCCCTGCCACCCCCAGGTCCGTGCCTGACGTCACAGGAGCATCACATACCCTCGGTATAGACGGACGAGAGACAGAGAGTGGGAGAAACAGGTAGGGGGAGATCAGTGAAGACCAAGATCACAGGAAACGTTGGCTCTCTCCAGAGTGTTCCAGGGTACAGGAAACAGCACAAAGGGACGCACCGACAGCCGCTGCCAGTGACAGAGGGCTCGCTGTGGCCAGAACTCCGCTAACCACACCTGTGTCTCCACATCCACCCTATACAAAAAGGCGGCCCCTGTGTGCAATCGGCCCGGGTCAGCACCGGAGCCGGTGCTGCCAAACAACGCAGACCAGCGAGCACAAGGGAAGTTGCAACTCCAGCTCCTGGCCCTTGGTTTTGTGCCTCTGAAGGAGACCTGGACGAATACATGAATGGAATCCCCACAGATACCCTTCCTCTTCCACGCAAGTCTTCATGCCCCCAGGGCCTCCACCGCCGCCCCTCTCCCCTGCACACCATGCACAAAGAAACCCCCAAGGGTGGGTGCAGGAGCAGCGGAGGAGACGGGAAGCCGCAGGCAAGGCTGACTTCTCGAGATCGGCAGGAAGGGGCCAAGGACGGGAAACGAATGGGCTCATGGTTTTTTGAGCTCAAGAGATAGCATCGTTGTCCCCAGAGTGTTGGCTAAGACAAGAGTCCAAGAGGTCAGGGGACTTGCACAGGTCACTGCTAGCGAGAGGCACAGGCAGGGACTGGATCCCAAAGCCAGTTTACCAAGCCCGGTAGCACCTGGGGGGTGGCAGGCACTGTGCTCAGCCCTGTGGTGGGAAGAACAGAGAAGGTGGGGCCAGACCCCAAGTTTGTTTTCCAGTTCTGTGACCCTGGGAAAGTGGTTTCCCTGCCGAGTCTCTGTTTCCTCGACTGTGAGATGGGAACAATCCCCTTACCTAGCTGGGTTGATGAGAGGGAAGGGCCGTAATGAGGATGAACTGCTTTGTTGTTGTTGTTGTTGTTATTAGTGTAGACTGGGCCGGTGTCGTGGTGCAGCAGGTAAAGCCGTTGCCTGCGGAGCTGGCATCCCCAATGGGCACGGGTTTGTGTCCCGGCTGCTCCACTTCCAGTCCATTTAATGGCCTGAGAAAAGCCCCAGAAGACGGCCCAGGTATCCGGGCCCCCACTATCCTGGTGGGAGACCTGGAAGAAGCTCCTGGCTCCTGATTTCGGCCAGTGCTTCCAACCATCCCAAGAGTGAATCAGCAGACAGAAGATTCTGTCTCTAACTGTCTCTAACTCTTTCAAATAAATAAATCTTTAAAAAAAAAAAAAAAAAAGGAATGCTGAGACAGCCAGAGATCTTCTACTTGCTGCTTCACTCCCCAAATTCCTGCAACAGCCAGGGCCGCACCAGGCCAAAGTAAGAGGTCTAGAACTCAATCCAGGTCTCCCACATACGTGGCGGGGACCCCAGCATGTGAGGCATAACCTGCTGCCCCCTGGGTGCACGTGAGCAGGAAGCTGGAGGTGGAAGCAGAGCCAGGACCCAATCCAGGCACGTGAGGCGGGATGTGAACGTCCCAAGCCAATCGCCTGCCCTGGCCGAGTGCTTTTCACCGAGAAGCAGAGATTAGGCAAGAAAAAGCCCAGCTGATCAGAGGGCCAGGTCCCAGGGCAG